ATACATCCTATAATGATGTCTAGCATCATACTATACATCCTATAATGATGTCTAGCATCCCTTACTATACATCCTATAATGATGTCTAGCATCTCATACTACATCCTATAATGATGTCTAGCATCCCCTTCTCCACATCCTATAATGATGTCTAGCATCCCCTGCCATCCTATAATGATGTCCTAGCACATCTCATACTATACATCCTATAATGATGTCTAGCATCTCATACTATACATCCTATTGATGTCTAGCATCCCCATACTATACATTCTATAATGATGTCTAGCATCCCTTACCCATTCTATATAATGATGTCTAGCATCATACTATCCATCCTATATAATGATGTCTAGCATCTCATACTGCCATCCTATAGTGTCTGGCATCTCATACTAACCATCCTATAATGATGTCTGGCATCCCATACTGCCATTCTATAATGATGTCCTAGCATCCCATACTATACATCCTATAATGATGTCCTAGCATCTCATACTATACATCCTATAATGATGTCTAGCATCCCCATACTATACATCTATAATGATGTCTAGCATCCCATACTATACATCACCTAATGATGTCTAGCATCTCATACTACCTCTATAAATGAAATGTCTAGCATCTCCTTACTATACATCTATAATGATGTCTAGCATCCCATACTATACATTCTATAATGATGTCTAGCATCCCATACTATACATTCTATAATGATGTCTAGCATCCCCATACTATACATCCTATAATGATGTCTAGCATCTCATACTATACATCTATAATGATGTCTAGCATCTCATACTATACATCCTATAATGATGTCCTAGCATCCCATACTATACATTCTATAATGATGTCTAGCATCCCATACACTATACATCCTATAATGATGTCTAGCATCTCATACTATACATCCTATAATGATGTCTAGCATCCCATACTATACATCCTATAATGATGTCTAGCATCCCATACTATACATCCTATAATGATGTCTAGCATCTCATACTATACATCCTATAATGATGTCTAGCATCCCATACTATACATCCTATAATGATGTCTAGCATCTCATACTATACATCCTATAATGATGTCTAGCATCTCATACTATACATCCTATAATGATGTCTAGCATCTCATACTATACATCCATAATGATGTCTAGCATCCCATACTATACATTCTATAATGATGTCTAGCATCCCATACTATACATTCTATAATGATGTCTAGCATCTCATACTATACATCCTATAATGATGTCTAGCATCTCATACTATACATCCTATAATGATGTCTAGCATCTCATACTATACATCCTATAATGATGTCTAGCATCCATACTGTACATCCTATAATGATGTCTAGCATCTCATACTATACATCCTATAATGATGTCTAGCATCCCATACTATACATCCTATAATGATGTCTAGCATCCCATACTATACATCCTATAATGATGTCTAGCATCTCATACTATACATCCTATAATGATGTCTAGCATCTCATACTATACATCCTATAATGATGTCTAGCATCCCATACTATACATTCTATAATGATGTCTAGCATCCCATACTATACATTCTATAATGATGTCTAGCATCCCATACTATACATCCTATAATGATGTCTAGCATCTCATACTATACATCCTATAATGATGTCTAGCATCTCATACTATACATCCTATAATGATGTCTAGCATCCCATACTATACATTCTATAATGATGTCTAGCATCCCATACTATACATCCTATAATGATGTCTAGCATCTCATACTATACATCCTATAATGATGTCTAGCATCTCATACTATACATCCTATAATGATGTCTAGCATCCCATACTATACATTCTATAATGATGTCTAGCATCTCATACTATACCTCCTATAATGATGTCTAGCATCTCATACTATACATCCTATAATGATGTCTAGCATCTCATACTATACATCCTATAATGATGTCTAGCGTCTCATACTATACATCCTATAATGATGTCTAGCATCTCATACTATACCTCCTATAATGATGTCTAGCATCTCATACTATACATCCTATAATGATGTCTAGCATCCCATACTATACATCCTATAATGATGTCTAGCATCTCATACTGTACATCCTATAATGATGTCTAGCATCCCATACTATACATCCTATAATGATGTCTAGCATCTCATACTGTACATCGTATAATGATGTCTAGCATCTCATACTGTACATCCTATAATGATGTCTAGCATCCCATACTATACATCGTATAATGATGTCTAGCATCTCATACTGTACATCGTATAATGATGTCTAGCATCTCATACTGTACATCCTATAATGATGTCTAGCATCTTATACTATACATCCTATAATGATGTCTAGCATCTCATACTGTACATCCTATAATGATGTCTTGCATCTCATACTGTACATCCTATAATGATGTCTAGCATCCCATACTATACATCCTATAATGATGTCTAGCATCTCATACTGTACATCGTATAATGATGTCTAGCATCTCATACTGTACATCGTATAATGATGTCTAGCATCCCATACTATACATCCTATAATGATGTCTAGCATCTCATACTGTACATCGTATAATGATGTCTAGCATCTCATACTGTACATCGCATAATGATGTCTAGCATCTCATACTGTACATCGTATAATGATGTCTAGCATCCCATACTATACATCCTATAATGATGTCTAGCATCTCATACTGTACATCGTATAATGATGTCTAGCATCTCATACTGTACATCGTATAATGATGTCTAGCATCTCATACTGTACATCCAATAATGATATCTAGCATCCCATACTATACATCCTATAATGATGTCTAACATCCCATACTATACATCCTATAATGGTGTCTAGCATCTCATACTATACATCCTATAATGATGTCTAGCATCTCATATTGTACATCCTATAATGATGTCTAGCATCTTATACTATACATCCTATAATGATGTCTAGCATCTCATATTGTACATCGCATAATGATGTCCAGCATCTCATACTATACATCCTATAATGATGTCTAGCATCCCATACTATACATCCTATAATGATGTCTAGCATCTCATACTGTACATCCTATAATGATGTCTAGCATCCCATACTATACATCCTATAATGATGTCTAGCATCTCATACTGTACATCATATAATGATGTCTAGCATCTCATACTGTACATCCTATAATGATGTCTAGCATCCCATACTATACATCCTATAATGATGTCTAGCATCTCATACTGTACATCGCATAATGATGTCTAGCATCTCATACTGTACATCGTATAATGATGTCTAGCATCCCATACTATACATCCTATAATGATGTCTAGCATCTCATACTGTACATCGTATAATGATGTCTAGCATCTCATACTGTACATCGTATAATGATGTCTAGCATCTCATACTGTACATCCAATAATGATATCTAGCATCCCATACTATACATCCTATAATGATGTCTAACATCCCATACTATACATCCTATAATGGTGTCTAGCATCTCATACTATACATCCTATAATGATGTCTAGCATCTCATATTGTACATCCTATAATGATGTCTAGCATCTCATACTATACATCCTATAATGATGTCTAGCATCTCATATTGTACATCGCATAATGATGTCTAGCATCTCATACTATACATCCTATAATGATGTCTAGCATCCCATACTATACATCCTATAATGATGTCTAGCATCTCATACTGTACATCCTATAATGATGTCTAGCATCCCATACTATACATCCTATAATGATGTCTAGCATCTCATACTGTACATCGTATAATGATGTCTAGCATCTCATACTGTACATCCTATAATGATGTCTAGCATCCCATACTATACATCGTATAATGATGTCTAGCATCTCATACTGTACATCGTATAATGATGTCTAGCATCTCATACTGTACATCCTATAATGATGTCTAGCATCTTATACTATACATCCTATAATGATGTCTAGCATCTCATACTGTACATCCTATAATGATGTCTTGCATCTCATACTGTACATCCTATAATGATGTCTAGCATCCCATACTATACATCCTATAATGATGTCTAGCATCTCATACTGTACATCGTATAATGATGTCTAGCATCTCATACTGTACATCGTATAATGATGTCTAGCATCCCATACTATACATCCTATAATGATGTCTAGCATCTCATACTGTACATCGTATAATGATGTCTAGCATCTCATACTGTACATCGTATAATGATGTCTAGCATCTCATACTGTACATCGTATAATGATGTCTAGCATCTCATACTGTACATCCTATAATGATGTCTAGCATCTCATACTATACATCCTATAATGATGTCTAGCATCTCATACTATACATCCTATAATGATGTCTAGCATCTCATACTATACATCCTATAATGATGTCTAGCATCTCATACTGTACATCGCATAATGATGTGTAGCATCTCATACTGTACATCATATAATGATGTCTAGCATCTCATACTATACATCCTATAATGATATCTAGCATCCCATACTATACATCCTATAATGATGTCTAACATCCCATACTATACATCCTATAATGGTGTCTAGCATCTCATACTATACATCCTATAATGATGTCTAGCATCTCATACTATACATCGCATAATGATGTCTAGCATCTCATACTGTACATCGTATAATGATGTCTAGCATCTCATACTATACATCCTATAATGATATCTAGCATCCCATACTATACATCCTATAATGATGTCTAGCATCTCATATTGTACATCCTATAATGATGTCTAGCATCTCATACTATACATCCTATAATGATGTCTAGCATCTCATACTGTACATCGCATAATGATGTCTAGCATCTCATACTGTACATCGTATAATGATGTCTAGCATCTCATACTATACATCCTATAATGATGTCTAGCATCCCATACTATACATCGTATAATGATGTCTAGCATCTCATACTGTACATCGTATAATGATGTCTAGCATCTCATACTGTACATCCTATAATGATGTCTAGCATCTCATACTATACATCCTATAATGATGTCTAGCATCTCATACTATACATCCTATAATGATGTCTAGCATCTCATACTGTACATCATAATGATCATACATACATCATATAATGATGTCTAGCATCTTATACTATACATCCTATAATGATCTCTAGCATCCTCATACTATACATCCTATAATGATGTCTAGCATCTCATACTGTACATCCTATAATGATGTCTAGCATCTCATACTACATCTACATCGCATAATGATGTCTAGCATCTCATACTGTACATCCTATAATGATGTCTAGCATCTTGCTATACATCTATAATGCATCTTGCATCCCATACTATACATCCTATAATGATGTAGCATCTCATATTGTACAATCTCATATACATCTATGATGTCTAGCATCTCATACTATACATCCTATAATGATGTCTAGCATCTCATACTGTACATCGCATAATGATGTCTAGCATCTCATACTGTACATCGTATAATGATGTCTAGCATCTCATACTATACATCCTATAATGATGTCTAGCATCCCATACTATACATCGTATAATGATGTCTAGCATCTCATACTGTACATCGTATAATGATGTCTAGCATCTCATACTGTACATCCTATAATGATGTCTAGCATCTCATACTGTACATCCTATAATGATGTCTAGCATCTCATACTGTACATCCTATAATGATGTCTAGCATCTCATACTGTACATCGTATAATGATGTCTAGCATCTCATTCTGTACATCCTATAATGATGTCTAGCATCTTATACTATACATCCTATAATGATGTCTAGCATCTCATACTATACATCCTATAATGATGTCTAGCATCTCATACTGTACATCCTATAATGATGTCTAGCATCTCATACTATACATCCTATAATGATGTCTAGCATCTCATACTGTACATCGTATAATGATGACTAGCATCTCATACTGTACATCCTATAATGATGTCTAGCATCTTATACTATACATCCTATAATGATGTCTTGCATCTCATACTGTACATCCTATAATGATGTCTAGCATCTTATACTATACATCCTATAATGATGTCTAGCATCTCATACTGTACATCCTATAATGATGTCTAGCATCTCATACTGTACATCCTATAATGATGTCTAGCATCTCATACTGTACATCGTATAATGATGTCTAGCATCTCATACTGTACATCCTATAATGATGTCTAGCATCTTATACTATACATCCTATAATGATGTCTAGCATCTCATACTGTACATCCTATAATGATGTCTAGCATCTTATACTATACATCCTATAATGATGTCTAGCATCTCATACTATACATCCTATAATGATGTCTAGCATCTCATACTGTACATCCTATAATGATGTCTAGCATCCCATACTATACATCCTATAATGATGTCTAGCATCTCATACTGTACATTGTATAATGTCTAGCATCTCATACTGTACATCCTATAATGATGTCTAGCATCTTATACTATACATCCTATAATGATGTCTAGCATCTCATACTATACATCGCATAATGATGTCTAGCATCTCATACTGTACATCGTATAATGATGTCTAGCATCTCATACTGTACATCCTATAATGATATCTAGCATCCCATACTATACATCCTATAATGATGTCTAGCATCTCATATTGTACATCCTATAATGATGTCTAGCATCTCATACTGTACATCGTATAATGATGTCTTGCATCTCATACTGTACATCCAATAATGATATCTAGCATCCCATACTATACATCCTATAATGATGTCTAACATCCCATACTATACATCCTATAATGGTGTCTAGCATCTCATACTATACATCCTATAATGATGTCTAGCATCTCATATTGTACATCCTATAATGATGTCTAGCATCTCATACTATACATCCTATAATGATGTCTAGCATCTCATACTATACATCCTATAATGATGTCTAGCGTCTCATACTGTACATCCTATAATGATGTCTAGCATCTCATACTATACATCCATTAATAATGTCTAGCATCTCATGCTATACATCCTATAATGATGTCTAGCATCTCATATTGTACATCCTATAATGATGTCTAGTATCTCATACTATACATCCTATAATGATGTCTAGCATCTCATACTGTACATCCTATAATGATGTCTAGCATCTCATACTATACATCCTATAATGATGTCTAGCATCTCATACTGTACATCCTATAATGATGTCTAGCATCTCATACTATACATCCATTAATAATGTCTAGCATCTCATGCTATACATCCTATAATGATGTCTAGCATCTCATATTGTACATCCTATAATGATGTCTAGCATCTCATACTATACATCCTATAATGATGTCTAGCATCTCATACTGTACATCCTATAATGATGTCTAGCATCTCATACTATACATCCTATAATGATGTCTAGCGTCTCATACTGTACATCCTATAATGATGTCTAGCATCTCATACTATACATCCATTAATAATGTCTAGCATCTCATGCTATACATCCTATAATGATGTCTAGCATCTCATATTGTACATCCTATAATGATGTCTAGCATCTCATATTGTACATCCTATAATGATGTCTAGCATCTCATAATATACATCCTATAATGATGTCTAGCATCTCATATCACTTAAGTATTTTCACCTTAGATGCAGTACCTGAATTTATAATTTTACCTGTATGATATGATTTGACAGAAATCACAACAACCATAATTTAAATACTGTACTGACCTTAAAACATGATTCATAACTATATTTACACTTCTGTACATGTATATACTGTACTGTACAGGGTATACTGTATATATGTACAGTACAGTACCCTAAATGCACACTAACTTACTCCTGCTATATCTGCTCCCTTCTTACATGTACCTATACTATCTGTACGGTACTACCATTCACCCCTTCCTGTCACTCACTCTTAACAATACATTACTAACTTCCTTGCACCTTATACATGTATTCAGTACTGTACACTTTATATTATTTTTCTAAACTATACTGTGCATCTCATTTTGTTTATTCCAATATTCTTCTACTACTATTGATCAATGGCTCAATAATATGAAAGATAATTGATAATATAGTGCAGTACATATTCTTTCCAAAAATTTAAAACATTTACGGTAATATTGGTCGCTGAAAAAATACCATTCACTTGACCATCACTGTAGCAGGTTCAGATACATTCAGGAGCCAGTGCACGTCCAGTACTTGTCAACAGTGCAAAACAGAGACGTGACCAGCTGATCAGTGGTGAAGCGGATAAAAGTAAATGTCATGTTAGTTACAGGTACAGTACAGTCCTGTTTATTAAGGGTAAGAGTCTCATCTTTTGCTCATACTGAGCAACATTTAATATTAAATACTTACACAGTACATGATGACATGAAGATATCAATGGCCTTGATATAAGATACAGGTGGCAGAGCAGCTTGAGACTTGGCATGTTGAGTAGATAGGGTTAGGAGTGATGTCACACCAAGGGTTACCCGAGCTGGAGCTATATCTGGTCGAATCCAAAATGATATCCACTGATGCAGAAATAGAAATGGTTAATGATGAAAGGAAGAGGATACAGTAGTCAGAAGAAGGATAAATATAAATTAATGAGAGGAAAATGCTTCATTGATGTTGGAGAGAACGGGAAAAGTTAGTGAGGGGAAGACAGTTTACAAAGGAAAGAGAAAGGTTACTTTCCAAAGAGAAGATGAATAAGCTAATGAAACAAAACTGGGGATAAATCATTGACAGGTTAAGGGGGTTGAATTACAATAGGTACTGGGGAGGTGTGGGTGGTGTCCTGTACAAGAAAGCAGTCAGAACTGAGATTAATTGTGTTTGGTTGGGGTATGGAGGAAAGAAGAGTTCTGGGTACCAGTTTACTATACTTCTGTATTGGGCAAAAGCAGATGAACTTGGTAAAGGATGATATTTGGGAAGCAGAGGAGAGGAGTTAAGATGTACAGTTTGATAATGGTGAAAGTAAATTTATCTGGACTCTGCTTTAAGTTGCTGTTATAAGTTATTAACTAATCTAGTTATGTGTTTACTGGTAAGTGTAGCTGATTGTTTTAATGTAACAAGCTCATTCTACTCATTCACTCAAAACAAGAGCTGTTAACAAAAATGGTTAAATGTTAATGGACTGGTTGGTTATGGTTGCTAATTGAGGCATTGCCATGAGATAAGTAAGAAATGTTCTTTCTACTCATAACTCACTTCTTTTACATTGACTGGGATATTCAACGACTTTAGTAGGTATACTGTATTATACCACTTACGCTCAGTATTATCTTTTCACGTATTGTACTGTACAGGGATTTCTATTTTCCCATTTCTATATATATATGTTTTGTAAGTTATGCCATCTCCCTCTCTTTTTCATTCCTCCATTCTACTTTTTCTACAGCATGTACACTGTACAGTATTTGCTGAGGCAGCGAATATCCTTTCTCAAAATAAGTACCGGTGAAGACCTTTTATTATATGATACTCTGGCCAGTGAGCTGTAGTAGTACTGTACCTGCACAGTACTTTATGTATTTGATAAATTTTTCACAATTTACTATGGGGTCTAGCATTCAAAATGTTGTGGTTATAGCAATGTGTGACAAAATTCCCATGCACCACAATGCTTTGAATAAAGAGAAAACATCTGATTTAAAAACATTTCAGTAAAATATTGGTCTCTGGTCTTGTGGGTTAGCAAATGTATAGTTTCCCTGAATGTAAAAGTTGCCACTGGTTTTTAAGCTTGAGGAAAAAATTGAAGGCTAAGAGAGGTTCATAAGTACTGTACTACTGTACAGTGCTGTGGAGAGTGAATGCATATGCAGAATGGCTTTCAGTTACTTAGTGAGTTCTGTATTGTGCATACATACTGTATACCCATGGTATTATACATTCTGGATGTACAGTACTGTATAGGCCAATTGTATACAGTTTGGTAAATGAAAACAGTAGAGGTAATCTACTTATTAACAGTCATCAAAGCTGACATTGTTACTGTCATTAAAAAATTGGAGAATTAATATTTTATACCTTACAAAACCCAAAATGGTTGTTGCTACAATATTTCCAAATAGGATTAAAATAAAGAGGAAATCTATTACTGTAGTTACATACCTATATAAATGAGAAATTTTCTTTTCAGTACTGTACTGTTGTTCTTAAGTACAGTGAACCCTCGCTTTACGCGGTTTCACTTTACGCGTTTCTACATTTACACGGTACCCTGCCAGAACCGGAATTCCCACTTTACGCGGTGCATCAACTCATATACGCGGGTGAAGTATAATTTTTTATTTAGCTCATAAAATTCATACAAATTATCCGGCCAGAATATAATTTACATTGCTGGAATTCTTACAATTTGATGATCATTTTGAATATAAGCATCATAGGTTTTGCATTAGACATACAAATTTTAGATCTAATGCAAGTATTTTGTTTACTCAGAGCAAATATGTTTTCTTTTGTGCAAAATATATGACGTGTATATTCAAAATATTCCTGGTCTTGCAAGGAATCCAGCAATGTCAATTATATTATCCTAACTTTAGTCTGAGGTATTATTTATTACTATACCTTAAAATCTAGTGGGTTTCCCCCAAACATTTCTCAGAGAGGGAAGAGCCAGCGAGTGTAGTGTGAGAAGAGGGGGAGGGCGTTGATTCCATTATTGGAATGGACATTAACTTGGCGACTGTATTTCTCTATTTATCTTAAGTATTAATTGTGTGTGTGTGTACCATCATAAAATTAAGATGTTATTTTTACTAGAACATAGGTATTGTGTCGGAAAAAGTGGAGTTTGGGGGTCAGCCGGTCTCTATTTCATTTAATCCCATATGTTATGTTGTTCACTTTACGCGTTTCTCGCTTTACGCGGGCCTCCGTGGGTTCAATTGACTGCGTAAAGTGAGGGTTCACTGTACTCTAGTTATGTAATAGGGTACAGTATTCCATCCTGTTTTATTCAAGACAATACTGTATACCCAATAATTTTCTCTACACCCAGTTAGTTATAACTGGTTTGAGCATTTTTTGGTAAGAAAAGAAAGTGTGATGGAAGAACATTTTACAATAATGTCCTGGAACCTACCGACATTATGACGATGAGGCAGGTGGGGATGTAGGTGTGAAACAGATAGTGGCCCAGATGGCGCTTGAGCTTGAAGATCACCTCCAGACAGGTGAAGTTACCTGTTGTTAATGCTCAATGATGTTACAGGTGATATATTTATTAAGTAATAATAATGGTGGTTAACAGTATAATAATGATATATGGCAGATTACTGTACTGTATATGGAAAACATTATCAGTTTTGTTGTAAAACAGTTACTGGTATCTTGATACAAGACTTCTTTTGTTCTGTAGGTGTACTTATATACAGTACAGAACTGTACTGTATACTTATACAGTACAGTGAACCACAAAACACTGAGATACAATACTGTACAGAATGTTCAACATGAGTTTCAGAGCTCACCTGTAGAGTACACCTGAGTACAATCTGATGTGATGTTACTAACGATCATCTGTTGTGGTAGCTCGATGGTGTCATCCACAGCAAGTGGTAAGTTTTCTTCCCAAGCAAACACCAGGTCTTGTGTAGTGTGAGACACTGGTACACACACACACCAAGGAAGAAGAGTTACAGTAGGTACTTTTCGGTGATATACAAATAGGTTATTACAGGCATCCCCCGCGTTACGGAAGCCCGGGTTACGGAATTTCGCTCTTACGGAATTTGTAAATTATGACCAATAATTTCACGTTACGGCCCGTAAATCCGCCCTTACGGAAATTGGGGTAAATTTTAACAATTTAAAAAAATCACTGTATAAAATTATAATTTGTTGTTAAAAATTATAATTTGTTTGGTGTGGATTTCTTGGTGTTTGCTACCGCCAAGCGTGGCATCGCCACGAGGAGTCAGTCCATTGTTTACATCCAGTGTGCACGCATGTTTCTCGCCCCAGCAGTTGGATTTAACTTTTACAAACATACAGTAAGTACAGTACAGTGCATTCCACTTATTCAAGATGACTGGAAAGAGGCCATCAAGTGAAAGTGACCGCAGTAGTGCAAAAACAAGCCGCAAAGGTATTGCATTGGATATTAAACTTGGTGTTTTAAGAAGGTATATCATAAATTATTTAATGTACTGTACTCTATTGTATGTGTTTATAAATGTTTATTTTCATTAATAAAAGTGCTTGAATTACTTTTTTGGGGCCGAAAAAATTCCTTTGGAACGCATCTCCAGTTTTATAATGGAATTCAATGGGAAAATAGGTTTGCGTTACGGAATTTCGTGATACGGTCAATTTTCCAGGAACGGAACCCTTCCGTAACGCGGTGATGCCTGTATTATTACACAAATCTTTTATTCACATTACGTTCACACTTACTGGACTATAAATACAGCTTTCATACAAAACTCTTAAACAGAAGTAGTTTCATACTTAGTAAATTACTCATTTAAACCTATGAAACATCATGAAACAAACTACAGTATAGTGCAGTACAAAGAGGAACATTTCTAAACAAAATTAGTACTGTACTGTATAATTATTATCTTCCCCCATTTACAGTGGGATGACACACACACACAGAATCTAACATAAACATAACATTTTAGTTGTTGCCTATCATTACTGTTTAGTGTAAAGAACCAAGTAAGAGTTGATGAATTAATTATTTGCTGAAGATTTTGGAAAATCAAACACTAACTGTTCTATTGTCTACACCCAGATTGCAGTAAGGTGAACAGCATTAGAAATGATGAGAAAGGATATACAATACTGTACTGTACTGTACTTGTAATCAATCTTCTGGTTTCCTCAAAGCCCGAGGATGAATAAGAGAGAATTAAGGATATGCTCCTCCATAGGATCCTTGGGGAGTAGGAGAAAAAGATGGGATGAAAGATGTCTTGACTCCCTAAAGCCCATGTTATAGGGATAAAGGAAGAAGTATACAGTAAGCTCAATCCTCAGGACTATGGGGTGTGAGGCAACACTTACAGCTCTCCATCTGCAGCTTGCACTCTTGGGTGTCGTGTGGGTAGAGTAAAAAGTTCATGGCGCAAGACAATGTTAATGTTAACCTGAAAATGAAGGATACTTTTTTGTATAGCTGTATTTGTTCTTTATCCTGTACTGTAAATAAAAAAAAGTCTGTTATCTAAATCAAAACTGAAAAAAATGGAGTACAGTACTGCATAAGATATTTAAAGTTGTAATATTCTTTATGAAATGTTGATTTAAAAAATATTACTTTATCACACTATTCAAGACATTGTTCGGTTTTACCAATTTACCAGATTTCACAAGCATCTACTGCACTGTATTTCTGTTTGTTCACAACTTCTAACTGATACTTTCACCCACACATAATCAGTTTAGTCTGTAAATTTGGTATATCAACATGAAAAGGACCTGGGTGTGTATGCTGACAATGAACTAAGGTGTTCGGGCCATTGTGAAAAGAAGGTGAATCAAGCAACTAAACTAGCAGGACTTATAAGAAGATCGTTCAGATATCTAGAACGTCCCTTGCAACAACTTTCAAAAGTGAGATGCTTTCTCGTCTGGAGTACTGCCACCTCGTCTGGTCCCCGAGATATGCTAGAGACTGTCAGTTGATTGAAAATGTCCAAAGGAGTGCCACCAGACTGGTGCCTGCTTTATGGCACCTCAGTTATCCACAGAGATTAGAAAGCCTGCAACTGCCAGTTTACACTACAGACGGGCAAGGGGTTACCTAATTGAAGTATATAAACATCTCGGAGGGCACTACTCAATCGAGTGTCCATACCTGGAGCTGGCAGACGTCCACCTCACAAGGGGTCACAGCTCAAGGTTGAAGAAGCCACAAGTCCAGAAAACTGTGAGGGCAAACTTTTTCTGAGTGAGAATTATGAAATCTTGGAACAATTTACCAGAGAGTGTTGAGACAGCACCGAGTGTGAGCTCTTTCAAGACCAGACTTGACCAACACTGGAGCAGGTTCAGATATATTCAGGAGCCAATGCATGCCCAGTACTTGCCAACGGAGATGTGACCAACTGTCCATGCAGCTAATGACCTGATCAGTGGCAGAGAGGATAAAAGTAAAAGTAAAGACACACCTTTGCTCCTGACACACCATTGAGCCTTTACAAGCCAGGTATAATCTCCATGTTTGACTCTCTGTACTTGATGCACTGAATCTGACAAAACTCTGCTCCTAACACATTACCAAACCTGACACAGCATATGTGTGTGTGTGTGTGTGTGGAAGAAGCAGAAAGACTAAAAAGTTGATGTAGTATAAGACAATAGGTAAAAACCTATTTTATGACAAGGAGGAGGGAGGGAGGGTTCCAAGCATCCCTTAAACTCTTATGTCATTATGGTAGTACAGTACTGTACTTACCTAATTGACTACCTACCTACTACCTATGGCCTAGTACCTGACCAATACTTGCAGCAAGTACTGTACCTAATTACAGTGCTACCTACAGTCCTACACACGAGTATTTAAGGGTAGTAGGGAGGGTGTGAGATACAGTACTAACTTGACCATATAGAGTATTGTGAAATCTTTGTACAGCCACACGTAATGGTTGGGCACTGTCATAGTCTGGAAGTTCACCTCTTTAGCATTCTTGAAGAAGCTGTCTGGCCGCCACAGGTGGTGAAGCCAATCAAGGTCTAACAATCTGATGGAGAGGAGGTCAAAACTGTGTAAATGAAAGATTAATAAAGTACAGTACACGAGCATAAAAATGAAGAATGGTGAATATAGACCTTGGAAGGAGAGAACATTCCCAAAGGCTGTACCAAAGACGCAAAGATGTGTAAAAGAAAAATATGAAATAATTATACTCGGTTTAATCAACACACATCATAATTGGATATACTGTATTGTATGTCACTGAGGTCTGGCCTTTTCAGTTTGATGAACAGAATTGTTTAATAAAAACACATTATTCTGGCCTAGTTTTATGTTCTGATTTTAAAAATATACTGTACTATACATTTTCTTGGAGAAAATAAGAAATACCAAAAATAATAAATAAGGAAAGAATAGGCTACAAATATACTAACGTAACAAAAAATCAAAGGAAATGGTTAGGTTAGGTTATGCTACACTACACTGGCTACATTGTAATGACCACGGTCGTACACGTCAGTTAACATAAAATCAGACGATTCATATTACGCTCAATAGCTTCCTCATCGCTCCCTAGCTTAGGTGCCATCCATTTTCTCTGACTTCCTGTAACCAGCCTCTCTATAAAGTGAATTTGAATGTTAGAGAGAACACCATTGTTCTGAGTCAACTTAGAGATGTCTAATTACAGTTAAAACATAAAAGATCCTTTGTGAGTGATGTTGAAAGCTTTAACTGTCTTTACTGTTAGTAACACTTGTTAAGTAAGTGAGTGTCGAGTCGGCCAGTACGAATGGCATCCCATGATATTGTCCCTGGGGATAGCCATGAATTTCCAATTGCTACAGAAGTTAGATTATTTTGATGCCCAAACATCAGAGAATCTGATATTTGTAGTTTAGTTAGTGTCAGTTATCTATTTAAGAAAGTCATTAATCTCCTGAACTATTGTCAACCTGTATAATCTGCAAAATCTAACGTATCCCTGTGAATAGTTCCTTGTTCGCAGCCTTGCTGAGTTTGTAAAACTAGTGTTAACAGCGTGTGTATTTTACGTCAATTTCACTTTTTCATGGCAAGCTCAATCTCTGAATAGATTATAAAAATAGACGTAAGAAATTCACCTGACCCAGGACATTGATTTTCATAGTTAAATGTACAGCGACTGAGTTGAATGTAATTTCTGTCATTGCGTGATTAGCCTTTGTGGCATGTATACTGCACAGGCCTGAGTTGCCAGTTAGCCGCATATAAACTCGTGCACGAGGGACAGCGTCACACCTCTGACGCTGTCCATCATATCTCAGGTAAGGGTACGTTCTCTGCCCACCATATTAAGTCAGTTTAACTCAGTGAATTTTGTGAAAGAATTAATGTAATGTAAATATCGTCTGTCATTGCTAGACGAAAGATTGTTTGTTATTGAGTTGTTTTTGACACATCTCTGACGCTGTCCATCATATCTCAGGCACAGTGTGTGTGTGTGTGATGCTGAATACCTGGGGGACCGGTAGCTGCATACCAGCTGGTTGTATTGGAAGATGTCGTTAATTTGGCAGGATTAAACTATGCGAGTCTGCACCCTGGGAACTAGGCCCAAACTCCCTCACCGTGTGTCGGACTCCAACCGACCCTAACAATGCTCTTCGTTTGTTGTGGTGACACCAATGTTACACCTCGAGGCACTCCTAACAGTTATATGGGCCAAAGTATTATTGTTGTATATGATCGGGGATAATTAACAGAAGTATAGTTATCCTATGTTGAGTAGTGAACCCATAAATATTGATAGTACTGTACCAGTAAATAAGTTAATTTGGGATTTTGTCAAGTGTGTCATAGAACCGTCTGTATTGACAATGAAATAATATAATCATTGTTTAATGTTCTAACCAAGAATTGAAGATTTACTTTACTACTTGTAAAAGTAAGACCTACGGGTCCAGTCCTATCTGAGCGTGTAAAATAACCATCTTATTTGTCGAAGAAATAATACAACAGTTGTTTAATGATGTAATCAGTAATTGAAGATCTATTTTATGAATGGTAAAGTAAGACCTAAGTGGTCCAGTCTGGTCTGAGTGTACTTAATTAACATCTTGTTCACTCATGTTAATAAATATTGAATTAGTAAACTACAAGTATCACCGCTTATTCCTTCTACCCATTGACCTCAGAAAATAACTATTGGTTTCACGTGCCTAGAAGCTCGCTAGCACGCTACCTAACAGGCTACCGTGGTAAGTACAATAAGTGTTATAGTACGAATGACATGGTTTTCCCAGACTGATCCATGGTATAGAATATAACTAAACCACGGATATAATTGAGAGAAAGTAAGGACATGAAACTCAGAAAATACAATAATAGATATGAAAGAAGAAATGAAGTAAAGAAAAGAATATTGACTTAGAAAATATAAGCAAAGAAATATAAGATAGATACTTATATAGAGAAAGACTCAGAATATAGAATTATTAATAGAAAATTAATAGAAAATATAGATAATGAAGCAAGAATATAAGTATATGAATAAAAAATAATAAAAAAAAATAATAAATATATGAAATAGGATAAAGAGAAAACATGCCCCCATACAACATTACTGAACAAAGGGAGGTATTACCGTCTGGGAAGATATTGGAAGCATTGTAGTGGATTTCTCCCCTACTAACGCAGTTTGTCGCTGCATAGCCGACCCCACGAATTCCACAGTGTGTGCCTCGTGGTCTAGGTCAACCAGTGCCGCCATACATCACAGAGCGGGGGTCAACTACTAAGCCACGCCTACCCCCCGCTATTTAAGACCTGACCTCGTTGTGACCTGTCTCTTTCTACCTACACCAACCAGCCAGCAACACCCCCTCCTCCTCCGCCGCTGCCTGGCGGCCCTTGCTCCTCCTCCGCCTGCCTGGCGGCCCTCGCTCCCGCCGGCGAGCATGGCGACCCACAAGCTGGTCCTCCTCTGAGCACCCTCACCAACCAGCTCTCTCTACATCACGCTTGTAACCATGCTGCCTTCCCAGCACCAAGCTGCATTGTACATCCAATACAACATATATACAGAGAGCACATTGTGAGTTTCCTTTCTCCATCACATTCTGAGTATGAACCAAACATCACATCCCCACAGCATAATGTACGTATTGTCTAATGGTAGACCCTTCTGCCACGAGGCATCACGAAAATTGTGACCCAGTCCCAGGTTGCTGATCTGACTTTCTGCCTCATTTACACACAATTGCAGTCTCAATTGTTTCTGTTACTACTGACAGCAACATAGATGTAGCGTTTCTCACTTTTGATTTTATTTCATATTTGTATTTCATTATTATTATTATTTGATTTTTAATTTTGTATTGTTATTATAAATCTTATTTACAGTGCAATGAATTATTATTTTTACATTTTCGCCCCCCCCCCACCCCCGGCACCGATATGGGTCAGTAACCTGTGCCCGGGTGGGCTAATCCCCGAAAAAAAATGATACCTGGAGTTTTATTAATGTGTTATATTTTTTGGTCCGATCTGTAAGAGCGCCAGCAATTTCCGCCAAAAATGAAGGTCAGATTCGTTTAAAATACACTGGAAAAACATTGGTCAACCCCTAGGGACTCCTGTCCTAAAGTAAAAATTTACCCACGTTTGTTTAACAGGCTAGCCTCTTATCTATTCAGAGCCCTAAATATTTTTTGTTTTTATAATTTTCGGTACTTTCTACTAGTTTCTCCAAAAATATATAAATATTTTGAAATCCGCATGTAAAACTACGTCAGATTAATGTGCTTTTATTTAAAAAAAAATGCAGTTCATCAAACCAAAAAGATTTCTGAGGTCCGTTTTAAAAGAAGTTTGAATAAATCCTGACGAATACACTTTAATTTTACTTAGAAGAGACAAAGCCATAATACTTCCCTAAAGCTAAGATTCCATACATGTGTTTGCAGTTCGTTTGCGGTATGCGTTTGCGTTAAATTGCATCTGAAAAACGGACCCCTTTTTCCATTTGCATGCAGCGGGAACAGGACAGGAAAGATGGCTCCTATTATAGTGCATCGAAGCTACGAGCCTTATATGAACAGGATGATTTGCTAATAAACACCCTGAGTTTGTATAAGAAAACGCGTAAATAAAAGGAAAAACGGACAAGGAAACATAGATAGTGGATTCATAGATTGCTGCTGAATCGGACTAAATATGGAGCCTACGTTAAAATACTTTGGTAAAATACCTAAGCTTAGATGAAGACAAATTCAAGGAATATTTTCGTCTGAGCAGACAACAGTTCGCACATGTTCTTTCCCTGGTTGATGGGGATTTGGTGAAACACTGCAGGAACAATGAAGTCATTTGCTCAAGGCAGCGATTTGCAACATGTATAAGGTAAGTCATGCTTATAAATACGAATTAATAGGAACCGTAGATAAATATTAAGGTACTCAAAAATTAGTATCCCAGTGACCCTTTTATTGAGACCATAAACCTTCATTTTAGAACAGTTGTGTCAAAAATGTATAGATCTCGTAAACTGATATACAGTATAAAGATTGATGCTTAAAGAGTTAAGTTATGAAATAACACTTACTAGGTTTCTAAGTGTATTATATAAGTGCATTACAAAAATAGGTTGGGATTATATTCTGAGTGAAGTTGATTTCACTCAGAATATATTCCCAACAGAAAACTTTTTTTCCTGAGGTATTTTGCTGGGTGAGAGCAAACACAGGGATAGTGACGCTACAGTGTGGGATTCCCTCGTCCGTTTCCACGCGGCTGCATTTTCAATCGTTACAAGGAGCGATTGAAATGTACACCACAAATTCATAACGTTAACGCTACCATTAACGCGACCGTGGCTGCCAAATGGAAACAACCGTGTACATTTCAATAGGATTTATTCTTGCCGCTAATGCTACAGCTACTGGTAACGCGTGAATGGAATACTAGCTTAACACGTTACTCTCGAGCTTCGATAATACTTCCTAGTTCTTACCTATAGTCTGAAGTCATATTAGAAGGCAATTTCAGGCGGTGGTCCCTCCACGACTGGGCGAAGAATATATCTGTTGCGAAGGTCTTGTGATTGAGTGAATGAAACAGGGTGAGGAAAAGGAGTCAGTTTTGTTTGTGTTTTAACGCTTCAATTTTTCCTAACCAGCATGAAGTTTAAAATAGTCCCATAACGTATTCTAGTAAAAAGATTCATATACACAGGAGGAAGTAAGGCTCCATTTCAATGAAAATTCGGCGACGGGTGTGTCGTCAATAATTATCATTATTGTTGCTGTATTAGACTAGCGTATTACTAACCATGTTTCACTCTTAAAGGCTTTAGTTGTTGAAGCGCAGTAATTCTATTTTAACAACAACCCTGACCCAGAATTTCAAAAGCTTGCATAACATATTTCCCTCTTTGGAAAGATTATAATGGCTGCCAGAATGACTTTTGAATTGTATTTTACAAATTTAAATTAACAATAATTATTATTATTTGTTTTTTTTATATTAAGTGACAGAATAATCTGAAGAACATGTGAATTACGTCTTACCCCGGTAGATTGACCGTCTGTGAGGGTGAAACTGGATACCGTGTTCTCTGTGAAGAACTGTACGTCCTGGCTGTAGTCCTGGAAAGAAAGAGAATGCTTGTGTAAATGGGAAACTGCAGCATTAAAACATGTTTTCAAGTTCTATCTGTGGACGTACATTTCCTCTGACAGTAAAACACGACACTTTGTGATATACAATTTTCCACTTGACTTCATTTGTGAGTTGTATCCATTTACATAAGTCTTAAGGTTATGTGATATTACCAATTGTTTTTAATTAATGTTACCTTTATAATTCCAGCACACATATAAAATTAATCTCTCAAATATTTCTACAATCATTGACCCAAACTGTTTCCTCGAACCTTACCATGGAGTTCTCATTGACAGAATCGATGCTCATGACGGTGACATGGAAATAAACGACCGTGGGCCGTCCTTCCTTTTTGGGCGGTGCCATCTTGTCGTAGGCTGAGGGCAAAATATCCTCAATCCTTAGGCTGCTCCTTCTTCCTGATGTGTAGTGGGAGGAGGAGACACTGGAAAAGTAGCGGTGGTATAGGAGGAAATGGAAATGTGTAGTAAAAGGAGGAAGAAAATGGAGAAATGAAGAGTAAGAAGAGAAGAGGGGAAAGAAGGAAGAGGAAGAGGAGGTGAGAGAAGAAAATGAAAATCAAGAGAGAATATGACACTGTAGAATAAATCACATCATAACAGCGAGACAAAATGACAACTTCAACACAAGTATAATCCAGTCGCCTCACGGACACAACAATACTGCTGTTGACGAAGGTATCATGACCTTATTTGTACCTCTATCTTTACGAATATTAATTCAGTAAGAACTAAGTAATCAGAGGGAGATATAATAACGGATGCTTCATATTGATAACAGTGAGTGAAATCTACTCAGAATCAACATACACTGATCGTGTGCCGTCACCTTGTACACACACAGGACAGAACAATAATATTCGCTACCTCAGTTGTACCTTTCAGTTTATGTAACGTTAATACTTTAACAGTAAGAGCCGTTTTATTATATTCGGCATTAATAAGAGACGTATAAGCTTCTTTATGCAAATTTACAGTATATAGTGTGTATTTTTTACAATTAAAAAAGTTAATTTTTATTAGGGTGAATATGAAATGGTCCACCAATCTTTCTCTGGAGACACTTGCCTTCAAAAAGCCGGTTGACTTACCTACAACACGCTATGGTGGGGGCTGACAGCAGCAGTAAAGCCATCAACACCATATTTGAAGTCTTGGGTGGATACGGACAGGGAGAACAGGAAACGGGAGTGGGAGGGAAGAGAGAAAACGCTGAACCTAAGAAGGAAGAGGAGCTGAGAGAAATTATTTTGATTGCGTAAGCGTTAGAATAATTTCGACTCCAATCTGGTTTATCGCAGAATCAGCGAGCAATTCTGAGTCATCATTTATCACTGATGACACTTGGGGATGTGTGGTGGTCACTCACTCTCCCTGCCTCTCACTGGTGACGCCCGAGGGTTTGTGGTGGTCACTCACTCTCCCTGTCTCTGGTGACAATTGGGGAGGTGTGTGGTCACTCGTCCTCCCTGTCTCTGGTGACAACTGGGGGTGTGTGTGGTGATCACTCTCCCTGCCTCTCACTGGTGAGTCCCGGGGGTTTGTGGTGGTCACTCACTCTCCCTGTCTCTCATTGGTGACGCCTAGGCTAAGTTGAAGTGAACTGCGCACTCTCCCTGCCTCCTCCTCCTTCTCCTTACCACCACCAACGACCAGGATTCATTGTGTGTGGCGAATAATATGCATTCGATTCTGCCATACCATTATTGAGATTGACCTTAACCTTTAACCTGACCCCCAGAACATGACAGCTCTATGGTTGCCTTAATGAATAGATCTAACGAGTGTGAACAATGTTGCCCAAACCAATTACGATTTCTCAAACAGACATACATTGTTAAATGATCAAGTTTATAGATAGATAAGGATGGTTCTGACATCACCACAAAACATTACCGTACTAAAGCACGGCGGTGTGAGTGGCTAGGTAAATACTCATCCCAGCATTAACAAACAAGAGCGACCAGCTATTTAGCTGGGGCAAATGGGATAAAGGTACGACCGCTCTTTTACCGTAGAATATTTCGGCATTTGTTTTTCATTAACAAAAACTCTTTCTAACTTACGTTTGTTTTCTTTACTCGCACGCACTGTATAAACGATATGTAGATGTGTATACTGTTTTTGTTGTTATAATAGATCAATATGTTATTCAACGTCTGAGGTCTTCAAGCACAGATCACAAAATCAGTTTATATTCTAAATAACAAAATCTACAAGGTAGGAAAAAATTGCTGCACGATGATGTTGGTTCATTTAAAAATTTATTACTCTCCTTTAAGAACTTAGGTCTTTAAGAATGCAATATAGACTACTAAATACACTAGTCGCCAACAATTAAAAATCAAGAGGAGAAACTGGATATGCATAATAATGGTAATTCTACTGGATAATAAGTGTAATAAGGAAATTCATATTTAAAGACACCAGACAGATACACAACACACAGAACAGAAAATTGGATAAAAATCATTACTTGGTAATTTCTCAGTGTAATAATAATAATAATAAATTAACGGTTTACTGAAAGAACATGGCAGCCGGTAGGCTGAAAATATGGTTCATAATTGGGGAATGGGTCACTTGATTGTCAATAATATACAAGTAACATAAGTTATACAAATATGACATATAATAATTAGGTGGGGAGGTCATACAACAGGGAATTTCAACATACAGTTGTAACAGTGAAAAAATAAGATTGGCAAGGAGTGAACACACTGGTTGATTACGAGTTGTAGATAATTTTTACAATGTTCGGGACTGGCCTGTTTTTATAGTGATTAGTACGTGCTCGTATGGGCTGGATGTGGTTGTGGTGCAGAACAACAATTCGCGGACGAGGGATATCGGGTGGAAGCAGGAACTGGTTCAAAGATGGTGCAGAAGCTTTTCCCAAAATTTGCAGATGAGGTCGTGGTGATGATCAGAGAGAACCGAGAGGGTCAGTGTGTCGAGCGTTTCTTGATATGTGGAGTAGGAGGGGGATTTTGCACGCCCTTTTCTGGCTTACTGTATCTGTTTTCTGAATCTTAATGCACTGCTGTACCAATATATCATTCTAATAATGTAATAAGGTGTCATACACCACTAAGATCCGTAAATAGAGTAATATACTACTACTACTACTACTACTTTTTATATATCTGCTACTACTACTACTACTACTACTTTTATTTTTATTTTTTAAAGAATGGCCACTAGCCTACCCCAATAGCCACACCTTCGCCTCCACTTCTACTACTATTACTAATAATAATAATAATAATAATAATAAATACTACTACAGTTGTACCGGTACTACCACTACTACTACTACTACTTTTACTATTAATATTATTGTTAATTATCATAACATTAATTATATTCCCATTACTTTTAATTTACATATATTGCTGAAACAACTTGAAGAAGAAAGAAAATGAGACAATTTGGGGATATATATTGAAAATTGAAAAGGGTGTACAGGAAAGGGTCGAGTAATATTTAACAGAAAATGAGTGAATGTCTCGCTTTTTGCAAATATTCGAGACAATAGACCATAAGGAGGCTTGGGTGAGTGGTGGCACTGGTGGAGACTCGACTCAACAAGCTCAAGGTCCTCCAGCACGGTGGGAGGCGACAAGCACCAGGGGTAAACACAGTGACCTTTTGTACTTTACATGCAACTAAGCGATCGTATATGATGTGGTTGTGAATGACTGGAGAGTTAGAATTCGCATTTTTGAACAAAATTATGTCAATTAATCAAACCTAACCTAAACCTCTCCAAACTTCAACTTAACCTTCCCAAACTTAACTTAAACTTTCCCACACTTAATCTGATTTAAATCACCCCAAACGTAACCTGACGTTAAATTTCCCCCAACTTACCCTAACCTTCCCTAAATTTAACCTAACCTAAACTTTCCCTAACTTACCTAACCTAACCAAAGCTTCCTCAGAAAACGAAAAGTTGGTTGGTTTAGTTCGTGTTGTCTGCTGTCATCTTGTAAATAGGCTTTGTGTAAAAAAAACACAAGTGCCACACGGTGGATCCACACCAACGCAACATTATCCGTAATATGTATTAGTTTAATCACTTTATTGGCAAGACTGTGGTACAGTTTTGCCTAATCTGAGTAGTTCAGCCAGGTCGTGACAGAGGGTGCTATCACTCATCACTGCCACGCAGGACAGAGATCATATTCCTTAGTGCTATATTATAATTTAGGACCAATTAGTGTGGATTAGCAAGTTTAGGACAAACTGCCAGAATATTTTCAAGGACTTCTGATTCAATGTAGTAGTTACGTAGTTGATGATATAATAAACCAGGTGGTTTCAAGTCTTTGGGAGTATCACATTCCATAATATAATGTTACCGAATATGCTTTAAAGGTTTATCACAAAGTTTATATGCCGAGTATTAAGGCATAGGTTCATTTCGTGATGGCGTAGATCCTAACATATGCTGAAACTAATTGAGAAAAATGTAGCATACATCTGTGAGTTAACATGTACTGTACACTTCAAATTTTATTTCATCTTATCTTTTTGTTAGGAAGAAGAGGCAATCTCGGGGATATTGCTCCTGCGCACTGCAGATGTAAACTTTCTCATCAATTTCACAAATTGGAACTTATTCATAATCTATGTTACGACATTAGTTATTTGATTATAGCACATTAGTTGCTTCAAAGGGAAATTAATCCAATAGTATCATGGCTTTGACTTTACCCAATAGTTTTCCCCTTTGGTAGTTGTCGGTTGTTAAGATAAAGCGCATATTTGTTAATTCCTTCTCGGTATAGTGTTTTCGTCTCTGGCAGTCTTATCATTTATATTTTTGTGAGACCTGGATAACTGTAACATGTCTGTCTCACTGTGTTGGTCTGTACAAAAGTTTGGTCCGCTTGATGAAGGCTGAACTATCTGTGGGGGGAGTGGAGAATGCAGGTAATTTTATTTAATGACTCCACTATCCATTTTATTTCTTTGTAATATCAACGCTGCAGTTCATCAAGAATTTTCGCTGTGCACAAGGAAGGTCTCGCTCCACTTCATTTACAGCAGAGTTTGAAGATCAAATTAAAATAATTGATTCGGAGCCACAAGTTAACTCAGATTAAAATGAAATTCTAGACAAAATACCAGAATAATGTTAGTAGTCATTGTATACCGAGTTGAAAAAAATTCTACACTACTATACACACTATGCAGTGTGTGTATTGTAAAAGTATTATTTTGGAAAATTGGGAGCGTAAATGAGTATGGCATTATATATAGTAACTGTATTCCCTTGTACCCATTGTAACCGCCAGACTACGAGCAATATCTCTTCCCAGACATTTCTTATTAAATCTCAGTGGAGAGGCTGACTACTGTGATGAGAAAATGTGTCGGTGAATTCTAAAAGAAGGTTTCTTCAACAGTAATCCTCTATTCATTGCGTTTTCAGGTTTGTAATAAACATTTTACAGAATATTACAATTAAGTTGGTGTGGTGGGGGATGGCAGCGCATGTGTTTGATGATAAGGCGGTACTCCGGTGAATAAAAATGTGTAACTGTCATCGCTGTGGGAAATGTTTCTACAGTATAATAAAGATAAGGGGGCGTCAGCTGGCTAATGCTCAATACCTGTGACATTCAAGGAAAACACTGTGTGTGTGTGTGTGTGTGTGTGTGAACAGTACCCAGCGCTTATAATGACCTAGGTGGGGGAGATTATAACACGGGCCGCGCCACCCAGACCACCGTCACTTCCCACCCAGTACATTAGGCGAGCAACAGGATCTGATACAGTATACTGAGGCACAAGTAACGATCTTCTCCCCGTGATGTCTCCCTCACTCCTTCGCCTCCTTATTATACTGGTAACTAATATCTCCCTCACTCCTTCACTTACAAGTAAAAATATTGACATTTACTCCTCATAAAGGTCTGTCAATGTCTGAACGGTCCTGTACGTGTACTTTATGTCTTAATCTGTATTTGTATTGATGTCTTAACCGAATTTTTGTTGTTGTATCTGCTTCTGAAGTGGAGGTAGTGGTGGCTGAGTGTATAAATGATAGAGGGCGCAGGGGGGTGAGCTTGCTGGGTGTCATGGTGCTCTATAGTTTCTGATTCCTGGGTCAGTTATACACGACGCTGTAAGTGTTTGGTGTAAGTAAAAGAGATGAATAACTATAATTTTATGTAATAGAAGATGTGTGTTTTATATGTTCTCTGATGTTATTCTCGGTACTGTATGCAGTTTCTAAAATTGTGATTAATATAACATCGAGTTACAGCAGCCTCTTAAGTATAATTGGGTCCATATTTTGATTGTCATCTTTGTGTCGTAGCTTAAAATGTGTCAGATTAGTTCTCACATCAGTTGAAGAAAAATTTATTGTACTAGTTTTTAAGAATCACGTGCGTGTAATAATAATAATAATAATAATTAACGATCTACTGAAAGAGCATGGCAGAGAGAAGGCTGAAAATATACAGTTACATATTTGGGGAATGGATCACTTGATTGACAAATAATATACAAATAAGTTAAGTGATACAAATATGATATATAATAACAAAGTGGGGAGAAGGTCATACTACAGGACATATCAACATAGTAACAGTTCAAAAAGGTAAGATTGGCTGGGAATGAACACACTGGTTGACGACGAGTTGATAATTTTTACAACGGTTGGGACTGGGCTGTTCAGTACGTGTGTGTAGATACATTTGCTATTTTCCGTGTTTCTGAAATTGTGTCGTAAAAGTGACACAAATTTAGGAGAGTTAGTCAATAAAAATGGAGAGAAAAATATGGAGAGAGGCCATGAACATAAATAGTGTCATCTGTTGGCATTTTGAAAAACAAACAAACCTATTCTTAGCTTTGTCAGTGTTAACATATATTGTGTTGTGTCCTACCAGGTATTGGGCGTGGCTGGCGTGGCGTCCGAGGACAGTTGTCTCCCAGACTGTACTAACCGCACTGCCGGTGAAAATGTACCTGACCCTAAAAACTGCCACAGATACTACACATGTTTAACTAACAATGAACCCAGTGACGTAGCGTTCGAATGTGAAGATGATATGAAATTTGACATGAATTCATTGAAATGCGTGAATGCTGACAACGTAACTTGTTCTTTCTGCGAACCACAATGTAAATACGCATGTGCAGGAATGTCTCCTGATGAAACTTTCTTCGTGGCGAACATCAACGACTGCACCAAGTACTACCTGTGTGGAGTATATGATGACCCGTTCCCCTTGAGCTGTGAACCCGGAACGTTCTTTAACGGGATAAAGTGTGTGAAGGACGAGAGTCAGTGCTGTGACCCCTGCATCGTCGTCTGTGAGTCTCAATTCACTGAGATCGCCGATCCAACAAACTGCCACAATTTCTATTACTGTTCACAAGACAAATATTATCCTGAGATTGATGACTTACACACCTGTCCCAATGGAGAAGTATTTTCCTCTAAAGATAGCGGATGCTTTTATGGGGCCAACTGTACCGAGCCTTGTGTCCGCACAGTCCTGTGAACCACGACCACGGAGGCTCGCAAGGTAGCGCCACCTGAGGCCGAAATAACCCACATAAAAGGTGGAACGAACAGACGGGGACATGGAGTCATATTATTTATATTCTAAGTATACCTTACATCTAGTACATGTTAGATTCTAAGCGTGTTACAATGTAATAAAGTTTAATAAATAAATCAAGAGTTCTGGTATGATCACCTTAATCCATTATTAACTAGTATTAATGAAATACTCACACTGAGGTGAAAGGTGAAGGCTGGTCCCCTAAGTGTGGCTGCCCGTTGGGGACAATGTGATTGCAGCACATTGCCTGCATACTAAGCCTTCGGTACACAAGTCAGGCACCCATTTACAGCTGGGTGAATTGAGAGTCCCCTGAAATTGAACCACCGACTCTTAGGACAGGAGGTGAGCACTGTAATCCACCGCCGCACTGGGGTAATAGTAAAGAAATTCTACTCTCAGTTGCACTCAGACTAGCAGCTCCCGCACAACCTGCCGTGTTCTGATATTTACACCTTCCTGGGAGAATCTGTTGAGGGAAATTTATATGAACCTTTATCTTGTGTATGTACAATTTCTGAGTTAAACTAAAACAGTCAAATATTTAACTCCTTGAGTATGATAACCTCTTTCCCCTCTATAGTACAGTGTCATCGTACTCAAGGGAGATGTATATATCTCCCAAACACACTGGGATTTTTTGTATATGTTGAAATTCAGAGGTTCAATGTTATTATGGCGTTGTTTGAGGCCCACTGTAGGAACATCTTGTTTACACACACACACACTTCTAATACTACACTACTTTGCTGTCATCCGGAATCGAGTTTGACGATCATCCAGCAATGAGTTATTAGTGATCTTCGTTGTTGAGCTCTGAGGTGGCTCGAGAGGACCATAGGGGACCTGCAGGGTCGTCCTCAAGGCCACGTGTACGTGTGTGCATTTCTGTGTTTGCACGTAGTTGTGTGGTAATTGGAAAGAAAGGACTCGTCAAGGCTTAGGTAAACGTCTTGATCACCTTCACCAGTGTAAGGCACAGCAGAGATCACTTCAGCAGAAGCAGTTATCGGGAAGTATATTTAAAAAATTTAATACAGTTCCAGAAAAGAAAAGGCTGCAAAGCTCTCGAAGTAAAGTCACATCTTGAGGACAAAGAGATCAAATAAAAATCAGGGATTATTATATGCAAGCAAGTAATCATGATAAATGAAGTAACACAAGATGAAAATATCGGTACCAGACCTCGTGTAGGAACAAGAAATAACGCAAATATACAACAATACGGTCAGCAGAGACCCAGTTATTTCCGGCGATAAGTTTTTCATGCTACACAAGTGACTATACAGGACTACAGGTTATTTACACAGTCCATTGACGTTTATGTTTATTTAACCGAATGAGAATGTTACACACACCTGAAACACTACTGTGTGTTGTTCTCCATTATTTTCTGCACTTAACTGTATTCGTCACTATGTACTCGGTGATATTTCCACCATACACTTGCAGCTATGAAGAAATTATCACAGACGTCAAGTCAATAAATCCAAACATTACGAGACTTTGTAAACACCTTGTATATTATACGGCAGAGTCATCTAGTTGATAGTGTTTACAGTGTTCTATGGCTGTCCACTTAGTGTTACCAGCTGTTGTGTACCAAGGCTGTGGAGCAAACTCAGTACCGTCATGCCTCTACCCGGCGAACCACCACCAACGGCCAATGGTTCAATTCAATAATAATAATAATAATTTACGGTTTATTGAAAGAGCGTGGCAACCGGAAGACTGAAAATATACAGTTGCATAATTGGGGAATGGGTCTCTTGATTGACAAATAATATACAAGTAACATAATTATGTGATACAAATATATATAATAACCAGGTGGGGAGAAGGTCATAATACAGGGCATTTCAACATAGTGTCAGTGCAAAAGGGTAAGATTGACTGGGAGTGAATATACTGGTTGATTACAATTTATTGATAATTTTTACAATGGTTGTGACTAGGTTGTTCTTATAGCGATCAGTACGTGCTCGTATGGGCTGGATGCGGTTGTGGTGTAGAACAGCAATCCGCGGACGAGGGATCTAGGGTGGAAGCAGGAGCCGGTGTGGAGGATGATGCAGAAGCTTCTCACTAAATTTGCAGATGAGGTCGTGGTGAGGGTCAGTGAGAGCCGAGAGGGTCAGTGTGTTGAGCGCCTCTTGATATGTGGAGTAGGAAGGGGAGAGAATAATCTTGCATGCCTTCTTTTGCACCTTTTCTAGGTGTTTACGTTGTGTGGCATTTAGGGAGGAAGACCAGGCAAGGGAGGCATAGGTGAGCTTGAGAAATATGAATGTTGAGTAAACACTGAGGTGCTCGGGCGCAGGAACTTTGAGTCGGCGGCGGAAGTGGAGCCGGAAACTGGAGGATTGGACTACTTAACTGACATGTGGTTTCCAATTTAGTTTGTTCATTTGTGTGTGTGTGTTTGCAAAATTACACAAGAAGCATTTTGTGAATACAACCTAACTTACTGTATAGCGGACACTGGGTAAGAAGTTACTAAAACGCGACACAAAACAAAGCTCATCTGTACACCTGAGATGTTCTCTACTCTTCACTCTCAAGATTAACTTTTAAAACAAACATACCGCACACAGTGGTAAGGAGTTACCTTTGAGTATAGAAAATATGTAAATACAAAAATATGTGTGTGTATGAAATTAGGTCAAGGTAAACACGAAGCTTCATTGGTGACTGAGTTTTGTTTTGGAAATTAGTTAGGTTAGGCTAAGCTGGGTAAAGTCGGGTTGGGTTAGATTAGGTCAAGTTAAGTTTGGGTTAGGTCGAATATGTTGGGTTCGGGTAGATGAGGCATAACACTCCACTGGTCCAATGCCCAAGAACGGAACCAAAATATCCGGGCCTTCTGTACCTAGTTGCCGCAGATGTACTTGTAACCAGTGTACGTAAGGGCTTTAACACGAAGGGCCATTCCAGCACGGAGGACCTGGGGATCGAGGCAGGTAGGGGCCTCAGTAGGAGTTTGCGGTGTCAGCAGGAGATCCCTGGGATGAGGAGCACCCACTCCTATAACTACGTGTTTCCTCTACAACACCACCAGCGAGGCAGACCTATAACTACGTATTTCCTCTACACTAGTGAGGCAGGCCTATAACCACGTGTTTCCTCTACACTAGTGAGGCAGGCCTATAACCACGTGTTTCCTCTACACTAGTGAGGCAGGCCTATAACCACGTGTTTCCTCTACACCAGTGAGGCAGGCCTATAACCACGTGTTTCCTCTACACCAGTAAGGCAGGCCTATAACCACGTGTTTCATCTACACCAGTGAGGCCGGCCTATAACCACGTGCTTCCTCTACACCAGTGAGGCAGGCCTATAACCACGTGTTTCCTCTACACCAGTGAGGCAGGCCTATAACCACGTGCTTCCTCTACACCAGTGAGGCAGGCCTATAACCGTGTTCCTCTACACCAGTGAGGCAGGCCTATAACCACGTGTTTCCTCTACACCAGTGAGGCAGGCCTATAACCACGTGTTTCCTCTACACCAGTGAGGCAGGCCTATAACCACGTGTTTCCTCTACACCAGTGAGGCAGGCCTATAACCACGTGTTTCCTCTACCCAGTGAGGCAGGCCTATAACCACGTGTTTCCTCTACACCAGTGAGGTAGGCCTATACCACGTGTTTCCTCTACACCAGTGAGGCAGGCCTATAACCACGTGTTTTCTCTACACCAGTGAGGCAGGCCTATAACCACGTGTTTCCTCTACACCAGTGAGGCAGGCCTATAACCACGTGTTTCCTCTACACCAGTGAGGCAGGCCTATAACCACGTGTTTCCTCTACACCAGTGAGGCAGGCCTATAACCATTAACCACGTGTTTCCTCTACACCAGTGAGATAGGCCTATAACCTCGTGTTTCCTCTACACCAGTGGGGCAGGCCTATGACCACGTGTTTCCCCTACACCAGTGAGGGAATCCTATAAGCATTAATCACCCTGTATTCTTTTCTTTACTACATTTCTTTTTTCATATCTATTATTGTATTTTCTGAATTTCATGTCCTTACTTTCTCTCAGTTATAGCCTGTTCTAGTTTTGTATATTCTAAAGTCTAAACTATGGGAAACCATGTCATTATTATTATAACACTTATTACTTACCACGGTAGCCTGCCACCACCCAGACTTTTATTAAAATATAATATATCTTAGTGAACTGTTAGGTAGCGTGCTAGTGAGCTTCTAGGCACATGAGTCACAATAGTTATTTTCTGAGAACCAACGGGTAGAAGGAATAAGTGGTGATACTTGTAGTTTACTAATTCAATATTTATTAACATAAGGAGTGAATAAGATGTAAATCTTACTTTACCACTCATAAAATATATCTTTAATTATTCATTACATCATTAAACAACTGTTGTATTATTTCTTTGACAAATAAGATGGTTATTTGGCACGCTCAGATAGTACTGGACCCTAAGGTCTTACTTTTACCAGTAGCAAAATAAATCTTCAATTCTTGGTTACAACATTAAACAGTCATTATATTTTTTCATTGTCAATACAGATGGTTCTATGACACACTTGACAATATCCCAAATTAAAATATTATCTATAGCAACATGTTATTTCGGAATGAATAACATGGCGCTTTTCCTTCAGTTGATGTACTCAACTCACGTCCATATTTACTGGTACTATCAATATTTATGGGTTCACTACTCAACCTGGGATAACTATAACTCTGCTAATTATCTCCAATCATATACAACAATAATACTAGATAGAACTCAGCTGGTCGGCCATATGGAGGATGCACTCCCAACCAACACCCTGATAACACGGTATTACTGGTAATACCAATACTGCTCGGTACATATAACGAAGATCAATGAACCAGACAATACTGAGCCCACTGGGCGCGGGTAGTTGACTACACACAGCTGAGCCGAGGCTCGCTCGCTAGTAACGCCCGTGGTAGACTCGCTGTAGTATCGTAGCACGGTCTTCCCTGGTTGCTCTTGTCCTCAGATTCTAGTTTTGCCTTATTTAAGACATCCTTCCATGACCATCTTGCCCATAGGCGGCTACCGAACCTCGAAAGTGGTGGCAACACAGACAGTGCCTGAGATAATGATGGAGAAGCGTCAGAGATGTGAATAATAACTCAATCACAAACAATCTTTCGTGTAGCAACGACAGACGATATTTACTTACGTTACATTAATTCTTTCACTGGGAATTTGAAAATTTCACTGTTACAACATGAACACTGATATTCACAAGATTCACTGAGTTAAACTGACTTCATATGGCGGGCGGAGAATCGTACACATACCTGAGATGTGACGCTGCTCCTCGTGCACGAGTTATTTCCGGCTAACTGGCAACTCAGGCCTGTGCGGTATACATGCCACAAGGGCTAATGACGCAATGACAGAAATTACATTCAACTCAGTCGCTATACATTTAACTATGAAAATCAATGCCATGGGTCAGGTGAATTTCTTACGTCTATTCATATGATCTAATCAGAGATTGAGCTTCCCAGGAAAAAGTGGAATTACACATGTTGTTAACATTAGTTTTACAAAGTCAGCAAAACTCCAAACAAGGAACTATTCAAGGGGACACGTTTGATGTTGGAGATTATACAGGTTGACAGAATAGTTCAGGAGATTAATGACTTTCTTAAATAGATAACTGACACTAACTAAACTACAAATATCAGATTCTCTGATGTTTGGGCATCAAAATAATCTAACTTCAGTAGCAATTGGAAATTCATGGCTATCCCCAGGGACAATATCATGGGATGCCATTCGTACTGGCAGACTCGACACTCACTTACTTAACAAGTGTTACTAACAGTAAAGACAGTTAAAGCTTTCAACATCACTCACAAAGGATCTTTTATGTTTTAACTGTAATTAGACATCTCTAAGTTGACTCAAAACAATGGTGTTCTCTCTCACATTCAAATTCACTTTATAGAGAGGTTGGTTACTGGAAGTCAGAGAAAATGGACGGCACTTAAGCTAGGGAGCGATGAGGAAGCGGATGCCTCAGATGGGGGACTCAAAAGAAGGCCTAGCTACATGTCTTGTGGGCTATTGAGCGTAATATGAATTGTCTGATTTTACGTTAACTGTCGTGTACGACTGTGGTCATTACAGTTGAAGTACTGTACGTCGGCCTAGACACGAAGAGGAACTTAGTGAGGGGATAAAAGTCATCTTGAGCATTCGGGTAACCAATTCTTTTTTTCATCCTTTCCTAATCGCCCAGCTTATTTTGGAGGATGACGAGGACCGCGTTAGGGCCCACGGGTGACCCGAGTAGGACACTGTTGGAAGGCGGATGGGTTGACATACACTCCTCGCTCTCTTAGTGATGCACGTCATCAGCTGAGATGACTTCACAATGGAAGTGCTGAGCATGAGGCCTGATGCTTCTCCCTGAGCCATCACTCGTCTGCTGTCCCATAAAACTGAATCCGCTGACCCCGGCAAGATGTCGTCGTCCAAGAAGAAAATACGTATTGAGCTCGCTGAACAAACTGTCCACGAACTCCTTTGTTGTTAGGCAGAAAGCAGTGAGGGCGAGGGGATACTCTTGCTGGGTATACGGACAATACAGAGGTACAGTATAGCTTGACGCACATAATACATGATTATTGTCATGTTTGTATTGATTCATTAAGAAAAAAAAGGCGAAAGAGCTTTCCCTGCCCCTCCAATCCAGTCTCTTACCCCCTGTATCTTCGTCCTTCATCCCCTCCACCCCCCCCCACCCCTCACCTTTTACCAAGATACTGGATTCACATCTGGATACAGTAATGAAGAATAGAAGAGAAATCGTCGTGCACTGTCGGGACTTACTGATAATAATATTTTGTGTACCAGCAGAGAGAGAGAGAGATCCTATTTCAAGGTTCTGCTTTCCTCTCTGATGTGTTTAATTGAGTGTGGGAAAGTGACAGGTTGGACGCAAGACATGAGACCCATATTTCGGAGAACGAAGAAAGACATCGTCAGTCAGGTAACATATAATTATCCACATTCAAAACTTCCTTAGCCGATAGTATATCCTAACTTAGCTTTAGTTTAAGTACTGTAGATGTAACCCGAAAAGATTAATTGAGGTAATATGAGAATGATTGATTCTATTTTGGTAGATAGAATATTGATACGCCTTCTAGAAATTGTGACACTATGAACGCACATTACTTTATCTGAAGCATGTCCTTATCACCTCTATTTATACTGGTGTACAGTGTGTTGAGCTACAGTACCTCCTCGCCTCAACAGATGTCAGTGTTAGTCTTCTACCTCGCCCTTTCCCTGGTGAGTCTAGTACACCGTCTTTGTGACTTTGAGATCTATTGCTGATGTTATACTGACATTACTGCGCTTCAACAGTACATCAATCGGCTCATATTTACACTAGTCCACCAACAATTAACAATTATGAGATACAACTTTTTGTGTAAAGGCTTCTTCTGGACAGGCGTCAGGCATTTTGTCTTGAGGCCCACTCTGTAAGGATTCTATCTACTTGGGGAAGCTTTGGCTAGTTGGGTTGGCGAAGGGCACAAGGCAGTTTAGCCGGCTATACTTGGGCTGCACAAGATGATTAAATATTCCATGATCTTGTTTCTGCCTTAGAGAATGAAACTCTACCAAGCTTAGTACACAGGCTGGTCATTATAACACAGGTATACACCTCAGAAATTTATGTGTTAATAATTTATATCGTTTTGAGACTAAGTACTATATTCCCTCTGCAGGGTGTGTGGACAGGGGTCGAGGCGCTCCAGAACGGCTGTGTTCCAACATGTGCTAATAAAACCGAGGGTAGCCTTATTGCTGATCCAACCAACTGCCGGAAATATTATATTTGCTTAAAGGATAATGATCCATCTGATTTCACAATGGAATGCTCCGATGGTCAATTATTTGATAACGTAACCTTCCAGTGTCAACCTCATGACAATGCGACGTGTGGTGTTTGTGAGCCATCCTGTCAGTTTACGTGCCCAAAGAACATCACAACCCCTGTATTAATAGCAGATCGTAAAAGTTGTAAGAATTTTATTATATGTACACCAGCTGGTGATCAATTAAGTACCCCGTGTCCTGAGAATAAACCTTATTTTAATGGAACGTCTTGCACGACCAACAATGCCCAATGTTGTGACCCTTGTGTTTCTTACTGTCCGGAAGCCTACACTGAGGTTCCTGATCCCACCAACTGTACTAACTTCTACTTCTGTAATGCTAAAGGCTACCCGGACGAGACCAACCTGTTCACGTGCACTGAGGGTTACTTTGACGAGGTGACGGGTGTGTGTTCGACAGATGCGGCGTGTATCGAGCCATGTGGGGGTGATAACAGGACCACTTCAAACCCTTTGTCAACTACCAGTAGCCTGCCAACTACCACTAATGAAGGCCCTCACTGCATCGACCCATTCCTGTGCACCAAGGAAGGTTACTTCCCCAAATGCGACAACAGGTGTGATCGCCATTACTACATCTGCTCTCAAAATGATATTCATTCATATGTTGAATCTGTCCTATGCTCCAACTTTAGAGTAATCAATCCGGACACAATGAAGTGCGTCCCCATCGAGGATTGTCCGTACCCGATCCACATTTAATTGATGCCGTCCTCCTTTCTCTCGTTGAGAAAGTATACGAACTGTAGTAGTTACCACAAGATGTAACTTTCTCAGAGCAATAGATAGATTCTCTGTTAGGTTAATGTGTTTCACTTAAAAGATTGTAAAATATTTCTCAATAAGCCTTATAAGTTTAGGGTACGAGTTGACTAGATAAACACTTTGTCTTGAGTACAGATTTGATGAAACTCGAAGACGGAGACTTAATAATGGATCCATATATTGTTGTCCTCCTCTTTGATATACAATTTTACTTAATAATATAGAAAAAAAGAACGTTTATGGAAAATGTTTTACTTAACCTTTCATTCCTCTGTGAAGAATATTTTTTCTTTCAATTATAGATCATCAGATGGGTCTAGGTGTAGGGGAGAATATTAGAGGGAGATACAGGTGTAGGGGAGAATATTAGGGGGAGATACAGGTGTAGGAGAGAATATTAAGAGATACAGGTGTAGGGGAGAATATTAGAGGGGAGATACAGGTGTAGGGGAGAATATTAGAGGGGAGATACAGGTACACTTGCAGGAGATAATATTAGGGAGAATTACAGGTGTAGAGGAGAGATACACATATAGGGGAGACTATTAGGGGGAGATGCAGGTGTAGGGAGGGTATTAAAGGGGGTCGGCTGCTACAACTTGATTTCTTTAAGGATCATAGGCAGACAGAAAGACAGACACCCAGTTCTCGTGTTAACAGAGGCTATATAAGAAGAGGAACAGCTGACGTAAGTGAATTTGTAAATAATAAGGACAAAAAAGAAACAATAAACAGAGATCACATTTTTTAATTTACATACATAAATAATAATAAATGTATTAAATTAGCTACGAAGGATAAGTAACATGCTAAGGAAGACATTAAGTGTAACAATAAAACAGGATTTCTTTTGTCTTATGTCTATGATCAGTGATTCAATAAGCGTGTTTAATTCTAATCTCACTAGAGTACGATAAATTAATCCTTTCAGTACGATGACTTTACCCTTAGAGTACGATAACTTAATCCTTTCAATACAATGACTTATTAACCCCTAGAGTACGATAACTTAATCCTTTCAGTACAATGACTTATTAACCCCTAGAGTACGATAACTTAATCCTTTCAGTACAATGACTTATTAACCCCTAGAGTACGATAACTTAATCCTTTCAGTACAATGACTTATTAACCCCTAGAGTACGATAACTTAATCCTTTCAGTACAATGACTTATTAACCCCTAGAGTACGATAACTTAATCCTATCTGAACGATGACTTTACCCCCCTGAATAAGTTATCGTTTTTATAGTTAAGATATTATACTTTAGGTCAAGGAGCTAGTCGTTCTGTTGTACTGACGTAAGGTAGTTATTTAAGTCATGATCTTGAGCCAGTGATATGACCGAAAAACTATCATCACATCCCCTCACTTCACTTAATCATAATAAGCCGCCCACCTTTGCCTGTTGTGGTGGAGGGTCGCTATAATGGTTCATCTCCTCCCCTTCACTGTTATGGTTGGTGGTGTTAGATAAACGGATTTGATATTTACAGCTACTGAGAGAGGTGTAAGTTACGAGTAATATAGTTCCTCTCAGCTACTGTGGGAGGCGTAGGTGGTGAGGAGTTTGATGCATCTTAGCTCCTGTGGGAGACGTAAGTGGTGAGGAACTTGCGGGAGGCCTTTCAGCTGCTGAGGGAAGCGTAAGTAGCGAGGAATCTGAGGACACCGGTGACGGAGAAAGGACACTTAGGGTACTGGAGCTGGCAGTTAGCGCCAGTGCGACCCATCTCCACAGCCTCCGTCAGGGAGGTCTTACCCACCAGCGTCTGCAGCCACGTGCTCCTGCGCCGTGATATAAACAAGTTAAAGGCAAGGAAAAAGAAAGTACTGCACCATACTTAATAAATATGGTGAAGGTTTATGTTGACCTTAAGTATAGTTGTGTGATGGAACACGAGGATGTATGGTGACTTGGTGGGCAGAGTCTCCAAGGACACGTCTCAGCCTCAGTAACCTTAAGAAAATAAAATGACGTATATCTTTCTCTAAAATATCTTTTAGTCTTAAAACAGAAGTTTAATGATGAATCAATTACAGAATTTGGAAGCTTGGTGTAAGAAATGACCAATATCATGGAAACACTACCCCTCTACCACCACCCTCAACCTCCACCCCCTCTACCACCATCACTACCAACGCCCCTCTACCACCATCACTACCAACTCCCCTCTACCACCATCACTACCAACTCCCCTCTACCACCATCACTACCAACGCCCCTCTACCACCATCACTACCAACTCCCCTCTACCACCATCACTACCACCACCCCTCTACCACCACCCTTCTACCACCATCACTACCTCTTCTCCGTCACGAGCCACATCACCACTAAAGATTTACTCCACCATGACAGCGACACTCACCCGGGTTTTACTTTCATCTGTTGACGGGAAGCTTTAATGGGTGTACTGTACTGTGTGTCGTGGAGCGTGAGGCGTCTAGTGCTGCCGGTAGTGATGACGACGACAGCGATGATGATGACGGCCTCGTGTTAGGTAATGATCACATTGTGTCATATCTCTGTTCCACTCTACGGCTCATGTATTGTTGTGACACTGATACTATTTCTGTTTTTGTTTGACTTTCTATCGACAGTTAATGTTTGGTAATTAATACGATTATAATGGCATAGGTGTTATTTGTCGAGACCTCACTAGCACCTGTGACAAGAAGATCTACCTGGCTATCACCCTCACAGGTAATCGTCTTCAGTACTATTCTCCCCTACTTTCTGGGATCATCTAACTCTTATTATGTCACCGCCTGTTTATACCTGATGGTAATTTTGATGTATTTTAGCACGTTACTCACACTTGAAGGGTGGTGGTGGTGGCTCAAACTGTTTCTGACTCAAACTCACCTTAACTCTTAGACGACGATGAATTAACCCTTTGACAATAGTGGCTTAACCCTTTGAGAAGGATTATTTGACCCTTTGACGATGGTGGTTTAACCCTTTGACTATGATTAATTAACCTTTTAAGATCTATTATTTAACCCTTTGACGATGGCAGTTTAACCCCATGATGATGATTTAACCCTGTAAGGACGATTATTTAACCCTTCAAGACACAAGGGGGTAAGTTGTGTCTGATCGTATAGCCTTGTGTTGAGTTTGCCGTCGCCCGGGGTGTTATGAATCAGACAAAATGAAACTGCCCTAGACTCACTAACCTGGTAAGTCGGCATCAAGACAGACCCATTTCAACACCAATACCTGCATCAATATTTGCACCAACACCTACATCAACACCTGCGTCAACACTCACCTAGCGAAACCCGACACAATCATCTCTGAAGAATCTGCGTCACCCTCCTTCACGCTCTGCTCAGATTCGGCCACGTAGGTACAGACGGCGCGCTGCATACAGGACGTGGAGTCGAGGTCGTACTGAGCCAGGGCGTCGTCCAGCTGGTTCAGGATGGAAGTGAAGGGCTCTACCGGCAACACACCTCCGCCTGTATCAGCGGAGGAACCAACGTGTCAGTATTTCACATCAGGATTTAGGAAGGATTTTACAGGACAACAAAAAGGTGTATACTAATTTACAAGTGGTTAATCACAGGTGAGTTAGAGAGTCATCCAGGGCAGGTGAGTCACAGGTCATCCAAGGCAGGTGAGTCACAGAATCATCCAGGGCAGGTGAGTCACAAAGCCATCAAGGGCAGGTGAGTCACAGAATCATCCAGGGCAGGTGAGTCACAAAGCCATCAAGGGCAGGTGAGTCACAGAATTATCCAGGGCAGGTGAGTTAGAGAGTCATCCAGGGCAGGTGAGTCACAAAGCCATCAAGGGGAGGTGAGTCACAGAATTATCCAGGGCAGGTGAGTTAGAGAGTCATCCAGGGCAGATGAGTCAGAGTCATCCAGGACAGGTGAGTCACACAGTCATGGCAGGTCAAAATCAAAGGGTCATCTAATCCAGGAAGGAAACCAAGGTCATGACTGATCACCTGGCACTGGTCTCACGGTGCCTCCTGCCACACAAAGTGATTTCCTTATCTGGGCAGCTATACGTCTTCACTTCTGTAACCACACGTCTTCACTTCTGTAGTCACACGTCTTCACTTCTGTAGCCACACGCCTTCCCTTCTGTAGCCACACGCCTTCACTTCTGTAGCCACACGTCTTCACTTCTGTAGCCAACGTCTTCACTTCTCACACGTCTCACTTGCACTTCACTCTGTAGCCACACGTCTTCACTTCTGTAGCCACACGCTTCACTTCTGTAGCCACACGTCTTCACTTCTGTAGCCACACGCTTCACTTCTGTAGCCACACGTCACTTCTGTAGCCAAACGCTTCACTTCTGTAGCCACACGTCTTCACTTCTGTAGCCACACGCTTCACTTCTGTAGCCACACGTCTTCACTTCTGTAGCCACACGCTTCACTTCTGTAGCCACACGCTTCACTTCTGTAGCCACACGCTTCACTTCTGTAGCCACATGTCTTCACTTCTGTAGCCACACGCTTCACTTCTGTAGCCACACGTATTTACTTCCATAGTTACGTGTTTGCGGTTATAAGACTGTGTCGAGGAACTGATAAACATAAATAATTAAGATATGTTACGACAATGGCAGAATAAGTGATTGCATTATGCCAATATCTTTCAACTTAAAATGAAGACATGTTATGGATTTAATAGCCAGGGAATGAAAAGCAGAGGCTGGGGGAGAAGGCGGATTCTGAGTAACTTGCTGAGAACGGTCAAGATGTATACAGATCATCTCGGATTCATACGTGATAAGTTTTTCTCGTAATTAGGGTTCAGAGAATCTATCTACTTAACGGAAGAGTTTCATTATAATTCCGATATCACTCAAATCGGGAGGATGGGAGTGTGGGAGGGAGGGAGTACGGGGGTGTAGGAGGGAGGGCCAGATGATAACAGACCCACGTACCATGTTAACCTTACCACTTGTTGCCATGGCTACTGTAGAAGGTTTTGATAGTTGTGAGAGTGTGTGTCCAGACTCCATAGCTCACTCTTGGTGCACTTCAACACACTCTAGTTCGAGATAGTCTACCACTACCCTGGGCGTCTGCCTCCGCACCTCGATCAAGTTTGACGTCAGAGTCAGGTGTGGATGCAGCTGGTTTGACTCCTGGTAATTTACCTGCATTAAGGTTTCTACAACAACAACCAGCCACGAGGAGTGACACAGTCAGCGACGAGCTTGTTTTTTCGCCTAACTGAAGTCACTATTTATGTTCGCCAGTGAGAAAAAAAAACAATTCCCGCCCGCGAATGAGTAAACTAGTGACAAAATAATATAGATTTTTTTATGGGATTAGCCCACTGCTTACACTTATTACTTAAAGGCATGTATACAGGTAAACATTGGAAAACATGTACAGCTGTTGAATTAAATACTAATTACCCTTAACAGGAAGAAAAAAAGAGGCATGCATCAGTGTGTTGACTGACCTCGTTCAATATTACGACCATAAGAGCTACCGTAGCCCGTGCCGCTGGTGGTGCCGGTGCCGGTGCTGGAAATGAGGCTGGTGAACAAGGTGGCCACCTGAGGCAGGATGAGGACGGCAAGCGCGATGGGCAAGACTATGGACAAGACAGAGTTCCAGTTGATGTTGACGAGAGAGTTTAAAGCGGTGGAGGTTGTGGCCCCGAGAGACTGCCCGATGTTCATTAATGAGGACGCCGGGATGGAGAGGAAGGGCACGGTGAAACTGAGGCCCAGCTGGTGGTGATAGAGGGAGTTACTAGTCTGACGGGATCACGTGAATATTAAGCACCCCAACTTATATCACCTTCAGAGTAAACACCCTAACGCTAACCTATCATAACCTAATCTAACATTGCCTACATTAACCTAAAATAACCTAATTTAACATAACTAAACCTAACCTTAAAAAAAAAATCGAACTCTCCAGGTAAAGTTCGGGGGTTAAATCTTCAGGTGAGCCGACTAAACTAAGGCTCTCTTGTTCATTCTTATCTTCCTGGCACTCAGAGTGTGTGTGTGTGTGTGTGTGTGTGTGTATGTGTGTGTGTATATATGTGTGTGTGTGTTTTATTATGCTGCGTGCTACGATCGATAGTTACAAAAGACAACAATCAAGACCAGAGAGAGAGAGAGGACGACAGGGGGAGACACTTACGTCAAGGGTCTGGGTGCCGCCGGAGTTGAGGGTAAAGAAGCGACCGGTGTGGTTCTTGTAGTTCGATCTCTGATAGGAGTGGTCGCCCCCGGCATTGTTATCTGCACCTGGAGATGAGGACCAGGCTTAAAGAGAAAGAAGCTGGGATGAAGGTCAGGGGGATGGGTGGGATGGGGGGAGGAAGTAGAAGAGTGGGGGGTGGGAGGGAAGAAAAGGGGAGGTGGGAGGGCTGGAGTAGGGAGGGAGGAAAGGGGCTGTGGAAGGGCTGGGGGATGGAGGGAGGAGAGGGGAGGTAAGAGGGAAGGAGAGCTGGCTGGAGAAGGGAGGGTAGAAGAGGATAGGTGGATGGCTTGGAAGAGGGAGGGGAGGAGGAATATAAGAAGAGGGGAAGTAAGAGGTCTGTAGGAGAAGGGAAGAAGAATTGAGGTGGGGAGGGGGGCTGGAGGAAGGAGGAAAGAGAGGAAGTCAAAGAAATGGAAGAGAGGAGGAGGAGGGCTGGATGACTAGAAAGTAAATCCACATAAATTTCCATCTACGTTACAATAAAAGAGTCAAGTAGACATTTACCCATAACAAGAGGTAGACTAAAGTAAGATCAATATATAAGTAAACTAGAGTATACACTTACTGTGGGTCGATTGACGACGTTTGTTGTTGGAAGAAGAATAGTGCTATAATATGACTACTGGGCTACATCTTTAGTATCTGAAAATCCACTTGTTCTGGGTCATCCGACACGAGAAATTTCTCTCCTCAAAATTCCCCAGATGTGACCCGCGACGTATATCCGGTTTCACATTGTGACGACTCTGTCCCTTCCTCACTCTACCATCATAACCATCACTTGCTCCAACTTGACACCAGGAGAAGAAACTGCTTCACGAAGCGACGCGACCCCAGTGAGCACCGTTTGAGAACCAGTTTCCCACCTGACTATGAGACCGAGGTATCGAGGCAGGTGTGTCTGCCTGGTAAGCTGAGTCTCCTCTTTGCGACCTACGGTGTTCCAATGAATCCCCTTCTCCCGGGGTGTGGACGACGAATTGTATTAAGGACTACTGCTGGTGGTGTTGTGATAGTTTGATGGTAGTGGACTACGGCGTTAATCCCCGGTTCCTTGTGGTTGGCCAACGCAACATAAGACCTGCTACCTGAGCTGCCATTTTTATCAGGTTTTTGTGTTGTTGTATATAGTATGTGTATTTAATGTTTAAAGTGAGAATAATTGGGTAATATTCTGGTGTTTTTTCGTAGATGCATAGTTGCTACTTTTGTGTTGATAATTGCATATTTTGTGTTTTACTTGTGTTATTAAATGTACTTAATTAACTAACTTAATCAATATTTAATATAAATGTTATTAAATTACTTAGTTTACATGATCATCACATCCCTTTCATAACTTAAATTTGTTTGTCACGAACAGTAATTCTTGTGTGTGTGTGTTCCTAACTTGCTGCATCCACGTATTTCAACCCCTAGATTATTCACTCGGTATTTTTACTTGTCAACTTTGCCATTCCTCAATGTTGTGGGTAGCAAGGAGGGACATCACAACATCTAACGGACTCTCGATATAACGGATTTTCATATCTATATAGTTCGTTATATGGAGGCTTCACATTTAATGAACCCTAAGTATAACGAACTTTTCCATCCAAATAGTTCGTTAAATAGAAGTTTCACTGAATCGTTCATTTTCCAACAAGACACTTTCGTAATTCGGATTTAGTGATGTATGTCACCATGGTCCGGATTTTGAATGATTTGAAGAGATTTTTTTAAATTATGATAGAGAAACGTATCTAGTTCTTTCATGGTGTTTTTCGCTAACTAGGCTACTTTATTTATATAGCATAGAAAGATAGACAGTCATGTGTTCTTAAATCCCATCTTAGAAAAATGAAATTATAGTAGGAATCTTTGACACTCGGCCCAGTGTTACAACTTACCAGGGAAGGAAGTCAAGGTACCCAGATCAAACTTGGTGGTGTTGTCAACATTGGTCTCGGGGGGAACGAAGCTGCTGGAGAGGAAGTTGAAGTCCGACGCTTTGTTGATCTAAGGGAGGAAGGCGGGCTGAAGAGGAGGACCTTCTGCTGTATGGCCAGGAATTGTGGCTAATATTGAATAATAGGAAGGATTTAGTCGTATAAAGTCTTACTAAAGGAGGGACTGAGACACAATGCTCAAGAGATGGGCAGGAGGTAGGAGCACTACTGAGGTTATACGATATGTTATGAACAAACTAAAGAGTTAAGAAGTAGATGTTAAGAAAACCTTACTACAGGTACATATTAATTATTCAAAACCATGTCTCAGAATCCTTCCCGAAAAATTATTCCCGAGCGGGATATGTTGCCTAGACGGTAGTGAAGCCAGGAAGAACAGTGACTCATTATACACAAAGCTCAAAATTAAAGTGATCGTGTGGAAATAAATCTTAGTTGAGGATCCCAAAGCCAACGAGAAATCTCAAAGAAAGATAATCAGAAGGTAACACTTGGGGGTGGAGGTAGAATTGGAGGGTGACTTACTGTTAATGTGTAAAACGAAATACCTTTACAAAAAAGATGTGAAGATCAGATAGACAAACAATCAACATTTTACTGGACACAGATACCAGACGTTAGCACTTAGACTAAAATGCTTACGAGCAACAGTGACTTAAGTCTGTAAGCTATATGTGTGAGAGAAGATCAAGAAAAATAACTCACTGTAAATGGTACATATATTATGTAATATGTTGTAAGGGTGAGTCGGGGTAGCGATTAGGCCACGTTTAAAGATGTTTATGACTCAACCATTGTCCTCAGTCAAGTCAGTGGAATACTGTGGTCCTCCTGAGGTTAAGAGTGTTCAGTAAGACAGTCAGGTCGGGTACAGGAGCGTCACCAATTCTGAGAATGATAAACAGACAGCCACCACACCTGCTGGTGGTGATGGGTGTTAAGCCCCTACAACAGGTATCATTACTGTACACTTTGGTCACAATGTTTTACTTAACTGGCTTTACTTGATCCGTTTTTCGTTACTCTTCAGCTTATTAGCCAGTCAGGTGGTCGGTCAGTTACAGTATCTGTTACACACTGAACATGTGTCAGTGTTGGTCAAGTCTTGGCCAGGATAGGGCAAAGTTTCGCTATTGTTAGTTTACACTAAGATGAGCGTGAGTGAAACTGCAGAGAGGTACAACTTGTAGCTGCATGTTCAGAAATATTCAGTTATTCTGTCTCGTAGTTATTTGGTGTTGTGTGTGTGTTTAGTCCCTCTTCATCCTCAGATTTATTGTTTCTATTAAGTGTCGCCAGAAAAAAATCCCCAGAAAATGAATATAGCAGCCACGGTATTGTCACTGATACAACGTAACAAAATATACAGCAAAGATCCATTATGAGTTTAACTACAGTGTGAAAGACTGAGGGGCAGCACAGTTAGTCTACTGTGGTAGGTAAGACCCGTGTACCCGTCAGAGCTGAGGTAAGGAGTGCGGTGTAGGTACGCACGAGGACGAGTTAGTTAGGTGACTAGCTACACCTACATGCGTTTACCCAAAGAGCCACAGGTGCAGGTGAGGGTGCGGAGGAGACAACACAGCTCACTCACCTGCCCAGTGTCGGCGGAGCGGTAGGAGGAGCGTCGCCTGTCCTACGGGTGATAACACGAGTCAGTGAGGGAGGCTGGCAAAGTTCAACGCCTATCCTAAGTATAATATATCAAAGACTCACGTCCGTATTATTAAACAACATCTTCCCTTCAGGAGGGTCGTCGTGTTTCAATCCGAGTTTGACACTAAATGAGCTCTGAGGGACACCGCAGTACAGTACTTAACGGGGTGGTGTGGCGGTAAAATTAACTTATTCCAATATTATAAATTAATTTGATTGGAATTAATTAATTTTCAAGACTTCGGCCCCAGTTCATCGATTTATTAATTTGAATGTTGTTATCTCTGAATAGCATGTGGGGTACAAATTGGACTGGAGGTATTCGAGTATTACTTGAAATGCTGACATCGTTTAATTTTGTAAGTGAAACAGATTACTATAGTTAATGATAGAGTGTGAGTTTTGGCATCTTAATTTACACTCCGCCGAGAGACGTAGAGTGAGGGGCGATATGATAGAGGTGTATAAATGGAAGTCAGGGCTAAACAAAGGGGACATTACAAAGGTACTCAAACTATCCAACCAGGAGCGAACTCGTAACAATGGTTTTGAATTAGACAAATTTAGATTTAGGCGCGAAATAGGTAAATATTAGTTTGGAAATAGAGTAGTGGACGAGTGGAACAAGTTACCAAACATCATTATTAACTCGAATACGCTGGATAGCTTCAAACGTAGGTTGGATGGATATATGAGCAATAGGGGTTGGGTGTAAATGGGACTGCCCAGTATGGGCCAAAAGACCCGCTGCAGTTTCCTCCATTCTTATGTTCTTATGTCTGTGAGGAGATAGGTCAGTGGGCCTCGTCTTGGGTCACCAACCGTCCGTCTCAACTGTCTCTGGGATTTCAATTCTATTGTTTTCAAGTTTCATCATTTTCATGTAATCCACCGCAAAGGACACCGCCCTAGCAGTCCTCAATAACCAACGGAACGTTCCCACGTTTATGTTACCCTAACCAATTAAACCTTGAGGGGTTGTATCTGCCTTCCTTAATATACCTGTCCCTGCTGTGTTACACCTATCACCAGCTGTCATCATGCTTCACTATAACAGGAACCGAGGAAAGAGTTATCAACGTTTAACCTAAAATCTTATTGTCGATAAATGCAATTTCATAGGCTGGTTTCTGTATACTTGTTACATAACCTGATTTGATTTTAGCATGTCTCTCTTATGTGATGTGTTAAGACGCTGCCCTCCTCCACGACACACCCCGGCGTGTTGTGTGTTGACTGTTGCCTTGTTCCTGTCTTGCGTTTAGATCGACATTGATGAGTAAATGTCACAGGAATGTTGTTTTATTATTTTCTTTCTATATAAAAAAATTAGTACTGAGGTAAGTAAACGGCTGCACTGTATAAATTTTGTGAAAAAAAAGATATTTCTGAATAGGTTTTACTGCGATTCAGTTCCAACTTGTGTATCCAGTATGGTAGAGGCAAAACATCATTTCATGGCGCGCGCGCTCGCGCTTTTGTGTGTGTGTGTGTGTGTGTCCTTACCGTCACATAGTAATAACGTCACACAACAGTAGCGTTAAGTAGCAGTAACGTCACATCGATCCTGTCAGATGGCAGAGTTTCCAGACAAACCTGTGTCGCAGAAGCAAAGTACATTAAGTGAGTCTTATGTTCGTATAAGTCAGTCATAGCCACTACAACACACAAGACATTAACGTCATACTCACTATCCTCAGTACTCTCGTGCCTTCCCTCACCCACCCACCCCCCTTGTTGACCTGTCGAACCTGAGAAACCACACTTAAGTCAGGGAGTCTTGTGTGGGTGGTCGTCCCGTGGTCTCTCTGTGTGGGTACTGTCGTGGGCGGTAACATGTATATACAGAGAGAAAGATATGGAATACCTGGTCTGGTGGAGGCACAACCACCTCCTTGGCTATCGAAGACTCTGCTGTCCATTGGTCGTGTCGCACCGATGGAGTGAATATCGGGAAGGTGACGCCTCCGTTACTGCTGGAGACAGGGAAGGCGGTGATATTGTGTTGTGCTCTTGACACAGACAGACAGACACACTTAAATATCTAGAAAATTATAACAGAACTACAGGGACTATATATAACATGCATTTATTAAAATTATATGTTGTTTACATTACCCAGCGCCTCAGTGACGAGCGAAAGTATAAAACAGAAGTTGTTAAAATTTTACTGTTACTTTACTTCACCACTTGTCAACTTACTAGCAGAGGGTGGTTGATTTGTTGACAAGTACTAGGCATGTGCGAACTCTTGAATATACTGTACCTGAACAGTGAACATGTGCCAGTGTTGGTCAAGTCTAAACTAAGATGGATAGTAATGGTGAATAAAAGTTGCTGAGAAGACGTGATAAATCCATGACGACAAGTGTTTCTCTGCCACCCATTACAGTAAATCCACTTGCTGAGAAGAGTTTGTCAGTAATTAGGAAGTTATCATGAGCCTGGGAAGTGACCAAGAAGAGGCACCTAATAGAACCCGAAAATTTCTCAAAACTAGACAAAGACTAGACGTAGCCTCGAAAAACAAAAGTATAGTACCTAAAACAAAACTATCGTACCTAACAGAAGGAGTGATCTGTATGGACTGCGTGGCTGCTAGGTGAACGAGTGTCACCATCATGCCCCATGTTGTCACCATCGGCTGTGCCTGCAAAACACACTATAGTTTAGTCATTACTTATAATACGTTTTGGATCACCTGAAGATATAACACCTTAGATTATTTCACCTGATTATTAATCACCATAACGCTGCATGGGGGGAGGGGTGTTAGGATAGGTGGTTTATCTTGAGTTGACATTAGCTGGAGTGTTAATCTTCAGGTAATCCCAGGTTTCAGCAACAATCGCTGTACTTAGCACCTTACACACACTCCTTCACTCAAATACCATTTTCAGAGGTTCATGAAAAAAAAATAAAAAATAAAAAAAAATATATATATATATCTTGATAAAATCACACACACACACACACACATACACACACACACACACACACACACATATATATATATATATATATATATATATATATATATATATATATATATTATATTTGAAATTTGAAGTTGTCGATGTATCGTTAGAAAATGGATCACTTTAAAATTAGGTTAGGTTTGGTTAGCGTTTGGTTATTTAATCGTCGGGTGAAATAAACATTACCATTGACACATTTCTGTAGTCATTCGGTACATACAGGTAATACATTCATGTTTTAACTCGATGCTTGCAAGGTGTAGGTGAAGATGGTCAACTAAACGCTGTGTGTGTCGTGTGTGTGATTGGTACTGTGTGAGATGTGTCACACTAGAAACTATAAACAGATACATAGAGTATTAAATCAAGTGAATGTTATGCTTTTACTGATGGTTCTGTGCAGACAAACACAGGTAGAACAGGCTGTGCAATTGTAATATATAAAGAAAAAGAGATGATAGTGTCAAACAAACAAAGGCTGAACAACTGGGTCAGCACAACACAAACTGAACTAACTGGAATCTACTTAGCCACAGACTACCTCAAAGAAAATGGAGGTGGGGTGATATTCTGTGACTCTCAAAGTGCTTTGAAATCAATGAACAGCCCGTCAGGCTCTATGTCTAAAGTTGCGTGTGATATTAAAAGGAATGTGATAACTGCCAATGAGAACAACTTTCGTATCGAATTTGTGTGGATTCCGTCCCATGTTGGAATCAGGTATCATGACCATGTTGATAGACTGGCCAATGAGGCATGTAAGAAAGAAAATGTTGACCGCGACCTTGGTCTGTCCAATGCTGTAATTAAAAACATTCAAGTCAGAATCATGAACTCTGATCTAGAAGAAGTGAGAAATGCAGAGAGACCTGACAGTTGTAGCATTAGTAAATATGACAAATTTTGTAACAAGAGGTACCGGTATGGCCAGCATAAGGACAGAACCAGACAATGTGATGTAGTCGTGGCCAGAATTAGGCTAGGATACAGACACATCTGGCAAGTTAGTAACGCTGTACCCATACCGGAACACTCAGCATGTAAACTTTGTGATAAACCTTTAAAGCATACACTTGAACACTATATTATTGAATGTGACACTGTCAAAGACTTCAGGCCACCTGACTTATTGTATCTTGAACTATGTAATTACTTCATTGAATCAGGTGTGCTTGAGGACATTCTTGCTGTTTATCCCAAATTTGCTAGCCCACACTGATTAGTCTTCAATTAGAATATGACTCCAATGTATGTGATCCACTGACCTATATATACTGCTAATGAATATGATGCATTTCCTTCTTTGTGTACGAACCTCTGTCCTGCATGGCAGTGAACAATGGCATTACCCACATGAATCTGACCTATATATAGTGTCAATGAATATGATGCATTCTTTGTGTACGAACCTCTGTCCTGTATGTCAGTGAAGAGTGACATTACCCACATTAATCTGACCTATGTATATGCATATGTGTATGTATGTATATATATATATATATATATATATATATATATATATATATATATATATATATATATATATATATATATATATATATATATATATATATATATATATTATATTTGAAATTTGAAGTTGTCGATGTATCGTTAGAAAATGGATCACTTTAAAATTAGGTTAGGTTTGGTTAGCGTTTGGTTATTTAATCGTCGGGTGAAATAAACATTACCATTGACACATTTCTGTAGTCATTCGGTACATACAGGTAATACATTCATGTTTTAACTCGATGCTTGCAAGGTGTAGGTGAAGATGGTCAACTAAACGCTGTGTGTGTCGTGTGTGTGATTGGTACTGTGTGACGACTGTCTATACATTTAGAAATAATATTATAGAGCCAGTTGTTATAGTTGACTTTGACCAGGGTGATTCTTACTATAACTATATTCAGCATCTTCCGTGTTTACAGTATACTAAGGTCTAAAATTCTAATTTTAGTCGAAATTATTATATTAGTGAGATTCATGATGTTCGTTGTGTCTTTGGCTGCAATCCATACGTGAGTGTGCAGAGAACGTCTGTAGAGAGGTAACGTTATGTCCTCCAGTATGTTGATATTGTCATGATAAATGATCCTGGTATACAGTATGTCTCATTAACATCAGCACATGGTTAGGACTTTGTGGTGACTTTTACGTGCGTCTTGGTTTAGTGTTGGTCTACGTGTCTTTGTTGCCACGGCAGTGTTGATTAACTCGCCGCACTTCTTAACTCACCTTCAGCGCCAGGCGAGTCATCCTGCAGGAGGGTGTTGACGGTTGGCAGGGGTCTGTTAGTCACCAACAACTCAGCTCAATAACTTGCCCAGTCAGTCAGTCTTTACCCTTTATTAGTGCGGTTAGGTCTGCTGTTGGTCTCTGCTGCTACGGTGAAGCCTTCTGCTACTGTTACCTTACTTAGTTAGCAGTTGCTACCTCTGCTGCAGATTTGTCTGAGCCTGCTGTGTCTGTTGCTGCTGGTGATGTCACCCTGAAGGACCTGTGGGAAGGACTGCAGGGACGGAGCCACTGTCATCCTTTATACTAACTTTCGAAGTCGAGACCGTGTCGACGGGCTCGGGTGGGTGGATGGTGACAACATAGGCGTGGCGAGGAATCACGTGGTGAGGGAGTTAGGGGTGGCGGCTCCGTGTAACACTTTAAATGACGTAATGTACAGCCTACGCCATACAACATGTTGCCGAGGAGTTATGGCACAATTCTCCTCATCAGCCAGTGTTGTTATTGATTAGCTGACTCGGCTATCTCACCCGGTGGCCGGAGGGGGGGGGGGATGCGGCACCTAGCGTTCAACTGTACCTTCAACGACGATGAGAAATATATACATAGTGAGATAAACATTAAGACTTTAAAATTAACTCCATCCAAACTCAGAATGTTTCACACATGTACTGTATAGTTGTATGCTATGTTCAATCGGGGTCAAAAGTCTTGAACACTGAGCAATCTGGCATCTACTTCTGAGTTATACATATATGATTGGGATATACTAATAACACTACTTGTCATCACATATTATGCCTGAACTACAAAATGGGATCAAACTCTCCTTAATACCTAAGATCTTCGGGTACTTACATGCCAAATACTGTCAAGTGTTCAAGATTTTTGACCCCGACTGTACATACTCAATAATAATAATAAAATAATAATAATAATAATAATAATAATAAATAAGGTTTTCTCTTGAGAATTTGGGTACTAACCAGCGGATCTCAAGTCATAAAACACAAGGTAATATATAAGACAATACGGTACAATAATAGTTACAGTACAGTTATTAAAGGTCTACATCATGTAACACTACACACTCCCTCACAACACAAAACACACGACACAGAGTTAAACATTATTCTTAATTACATCAGCAAGAAAATAAACAAGTGTTTCAAAAGTTTCAAAAGGAGGCTAGATAGATTCATGGATGATAGAAAGTGGTAGTAACTCTCGACAGGAGCTGCCATGCACAGGTCAACCGGCCTATTGTAGACTCCTTATTTTCTTATGTTCTTATGTATGTTCTTATGACGTATGAGATACACTAAAATATGAACAAGTATATCTGTACACACAGTACTACACACACACACACACACACACACACACACACGCATATACATTTATAAATACCATATACTGTATTGTCTGTCTTTTCAGATAAATACAAGAGTGTATGTGTATTAGCGTTTAGAGACCCTGGTGTAGTGGTCAGCGTACTCACTTCTCGAGAGAGACCCAAGGTTCGATCACGAGGGAGGACGAAGTTTGAGTAAGTTTGTTTATGCCACATGCGTCTCTAAACTGATGTACTGCTGGGTGATAGGTAGAGAAACTCCCTATATTTCTCCTTAACTAAAGCTCAGGGGTAATTTTCAAGGAAGACAACAAGTATCTCAAGCAGGACACAAGAGTTAGAATCGTGTAATACAGCTGAAACACTGCACCATGAAAACTCCAGCAGGAAGACTATCTAAAAATCACCTGAAGTGCCTCCACCCCAGCTCATTTCACCTAAAAATTAACAACCCTAACATTATTTAGGAGGTTAAGTTAGGTTAACATTAGGGTAGTTAACCTTTAGAAATAAGCTGGTGAGGATGTTCTTCAGGTGATCCCAAACTTACTCTGACGACCCGGTCTCCAACGCCAGATAAACAATAGCCACTGTTATACTTGCAACAGGTTTTGTAAGTGATGCATGCATTCGCGTCTCCTCCCACTTAATGAGGTCCGCCACACTACCACCTTCCTTTTCTATTGGCGCCTCAGTATTTAAACCACGTCATTAACCTTGAATCGTGATTTTTTTTTATTGTTTGATTAATTCCTCCTTGGTCAACATCCAACCCGACCTGTCGTCTTCAAAATCAGTCAATCAGTTTTGGGATTATTTTGTACACACACACGCGCGCGCGCACTCACACACTTTGCTGTCACTTGTAATCGAGTATGACGATCATCCAGCTATGATACAATGATATGAGTTATCAAGGATGTCACCTTAGTTGGTGAGTTCTGAGGTCACACACACACACACAGTAAATGCGACAGACCACAAAAGTCGATTACCTGATTCTTATGTCCTTCAGTAATTATCATTACTTTCTTGTAATAGTATTTCTTAGTGCAGGTCTGCACTTATATTCTGACAAGCACAGGAATAGACTAATATCTTGATAAATGCTATTACTTAACGCGTTGTTCAAGGTCTAGAACGTCTGGTGTCATCTTAGGTGTGATATAAATGTGCTAATTACCCTTTGAAAAATGTTAATTATGAAACTCTATACCCGTATTTCAGTAATGGTATTTTGATCTGTGCAGGTTGTGTTTCATTGTCTCTAACTAACATTTCCTCGAAAATCTTTTATTCTAGTCAATGATGTATCTCTCATGTTATATAACTTTCGCCATGAAATAATTGAAAATGAATTGCATACATTTATAACTATGAGTGAATAATGGGGTTGTGTGTAGCCTAACATGATTCTCCGTCACGATATTACGATTTATGTCATCGTAATTATTAAATTTATTATAATTATAGCGTTACTTTCAAAACTGTTACTTGCTATAGATTTCCACTCACATTTTACCCCATAATGTTGTTAATAGTAAGAGAAACAATTAAAACCCAGCAAATGTGTGTAAATGGGGCAGAAAGTCAGATCAGCAACCTGGGACTTGCTCACAATTTTCGTGATGACATATGGCAGCAGGGTCTACCATTAGACAATACATTATGCTTCCAATATCTTCCCAGGCGGTAGTACCTCCCTGTTTGGTAGCTGCCTACAACCTACTGCTTTCCGTGTTGTTACCAGCAGAAATACAGGACTTGTGGCCATATAGTGTTGATATATACAGGCATACCCAGGGCCGTCCCTAGGAGGGTGCGAGGCCCCACCAACCCCCATGGGACTGTCGCTATGGATGGTAAGGTCAGATTAACCAGTCAACAGGTAATGTGTCCGAGGTCACTGGGTCTAGTGCTGGGCCCCGCGGGGCCCCGGGCGGTCGCCCCTGTTCGCCCCCCACCCCCTAAAGGACTGGCCTGGGCATACCGTATATTTAGGTTAAAATAAATCACTGCTCAAGTATCATCGTGTGTATTTACTTGCTGGGTGCCAAAATGATGCAAAAGACCGATACCTCCAACATGGAAGTTTTCATCACTGTTCTCTATTTCATGTCTAGAAAATGTAAGTTTTCGTTACTAATGTCTATATTTCATGTTGTGGAAGGACTAGGGATGACCATGGCCAAGGAATGGGCTTGAGATGATCAGATGACAGATGCAATTTAACGGCTTCATAGCTGGATGGCGGAGTTATTGATAAAACTCTACAATCATAAAGAAATCTACTTTTGGTAAATTTCTTTCATCTGCCTTGATGAACCCTGGAAGTAGTTGTCCAACCTTCTTGGCTGATCGGTTCTGTAAATAAATATTATTAGACTATTAATTGTGCTTTACTGTGCAACACAGTAATGCTATATTGAATATATAAATATTACTAAGCACATTAACTAACTCAATGGATATTAGCTGCCCCTACTACAAATTTCATAGTATAAGCATTCCAAACAATATTGGTATTATTTTGGTTTTGGTCATCTGGGGAACCTTAAGATTCTAACTATGGCATTAAGTACTACTTTAAATAATAAGACACATTATCTCTACGGGATTTCTGTCGCAAAATTTTTTTCGATTGCATAAGAAAATACAGGTCATAGGTTAGGTTAGAGTATGATGAGTAACATAAGTTATAAGGTTAGCTTAACATACACCGGTTGATTTCTGATAGAAATGAAAGTCAAAATTGTTCATAACTCATCGCAAACCATCAGAAAAAAACAGTCTGCATGTCTAAGTACAGGGATGACTAAAACTTAAAATTTACCCATTATAGCCTATCTCGAATCAAAACATCCAAATACTTATGGTAGTTTTAGTAAAATTTTACCCATTAATTAATATAAATGATATTTCCCATTACATTCTCAAAACAAAGTCCAGACAATGTCATTACTTCTAAATTGGCTTGTGTCTCCATCTAGTACTGATATACTCTGTAAATGCACTGGAAAAAAAAGAGAAGGTCCACCAGGTAAGAGTACATGACAGCTGAGCTGGTGTGACCATGGGAGTTTTTGTATGTCCATAAGCTGCTCTTCACGGCACATTTCTTCACTTACGAAATGTGCATTTTTATGTTCGTAATTTTTAACATTATTATTGAGAAGAATAGGTCTAATTATAAATTGTGAACATATTAGTATGATAAATGCAGAGGTAAACGAACACTTTTTATGGATCAATCGGCTACTTTTTTAGCATAGAAAGGGGGCGTCGCTTCTGGGCCAAGCTAGTGTAAAGTGAGTTTTTTTATAACGATTTTACCAGAGGTCACAGTTTTAGGCAGTTTAACCCCTTCAGTACGATAACATAACCACCGTAAGTCATCAAAATCATCATGCTTAAGGGGTTAAATCATAGGACTCGAGCTGTTGTCATCGTACTCGAGGGGTTAAGGCACAATTGCGTCTTCAGGGCATATAGAGACTGCTTGCCTGAGGAGGTAGGTGTCAGGTCTCCCACAAGTTTGAGAGATGTGTGGATAAGAATTTTGGGGCAAATACAGAGGTGACCTTTTAGTGGCTTTCTTGGGTCATCCTTGGTTAAATATGCTTCCCATTTACCATTATTTGTATACTTATACTGCCTCTGCACATGCTAAATTAATGTGAACCTGTATGGCAATTTTACTTAATTAATATCTCTGTCTACCTACAGTATATATCAAGTAAACTGATCTTCTATTGTAATGTATATTTGCAACAAAATTCTCTCGATATTTATGGAACTATCTGGCAACCACCTGAAGGTCAGGTAAGGGCCAAATTGTAATTTAGATCAATCACGGCTCTCGAGTTGAGCAATGTGTTTTTTCCGATGGTTTAGACAATTTTAAGAAAA